CAAGCGAAGAGGATGTCTCCCTCTGCCTCCTCTGCATCTCTGCCACACACATACCCCTTAAACAAACAAATGTTTTAATAGAACTTTATGGATGCTGCAATTTCAAATTCATAGAATTTTTTTGTAATAAAGTACGAGTCCTCTTTATTTTTGACCATTTAAAAATACAAAACAGCCCTAGAAGGCAGGCTATGCGAAACAAGAGGCTGGTCACAGCACCTGGGTATAAACTGGCACCTCCTACTAAGTGCAGATCTTCCTCCAGCTCCTAGTCAAAACCCATGGTCATCCAGGAAAGCCTGTGTTCAGAGTAAGGTCGTCTTCACTCACTGACGTCTCATCCAGGCGGCGTGAATCCTACTTTTGCTAGAGAGATGGTTATTTTTACTAGACACCTAATAATGTAGTTCTAGAACAGTCAGCGGTTAACCACTTTAAGCAAATCAGAAACTTCGGAAAACCTACCAGTGGTGTCATTCACTTCAATCTTTCTCTTACGAGCCTGTCACCATCCAAAGCATTCTTGCCAAGCCCCCAAGCTTACCCAGTGTCAGGACGTGTGCTTCAGAGACAGGATGCTGGTAAGCTACCTAGGCCCAGGTAACGGGCTTGGTGTTAACTGCTTGAAAGAGAAACTTCTAATTTGGGCTCTTTCCTGACATGTGAAGCCCCCTTTCCAACATACCGGAAATCCCTTAGCACATGCTGCATTTTGGTGTTTTTTTTTTTTATTTCACTTGAGATCATGGGTCATAGAGGATGCTACATTACAGGATCATAAACTGGACTTCAAGGACTCTGATTCCTTGTAGGATCTGTTAGTTTAACCTCATAATGTTATCAACAGTTTTCAATTTAGTCTCTTCTTCTCTATCCTTCTGTCTCTTATCCATTTGTCTCTCTTCCTTCATGGTGCATTTTCCCTCTGACTTAAAATGGATGGATGTCGGAAAGGCTATACCACTGGATTAGTCTGTACACTGAGTCAGTGATGTGTATCAGGAGTAGGCCTTAGCCTAACAAATAATAAATGTGTCTTCCTTGTACCTCCACTGTCAAGCTGAAGACTCAAAGCCAGTTATTCTTCCTACATTCTGAAGAGCCAGGCCTCTACAGCAGTAAACGCTTGCGCTGAGGTTCAAACACGCTTCGGTTACGTGAACATGAGGAGGACCACGGGAAAGAGCCCTGGGACCACGGAAGTTCACCACTGTCCAAGGAACCCTGGGTTGAGGCACGCTCAGGAGAAGGGAACCAGAGCCAGAGTCCTAATGCCTGACCTTTTTTCTTTTAAGGTTTATTTTTATTTGAAAGGCAGATATACAGAGAAAGGGAGATACACAAAGATCTTCCATCCACTGGTTCATATCCCCAAGTGGTCACAGCAGCCAGACCTGTGCCAATCCGAAGCCAGGAGTCCAGAGCCTCTTCCAGGTCTCCCTCGCGGGTGCAGGGTTCCAAGGTTTTGGGCCGTCCTGGACAGCCCATCTCAGACCACAAGCAGGGAGTTGGATGGGAAGTGGGACCACCAGGACAAGAATCAGCACCCATAGGGGATCCCGGTATGTGCAAGGCGAGGACTTTAGGCCCAAGGCCCTATTCTAAAATAAGAAATCTAAGAATTAGAGGAGCAATAAGGATGACAATGGTTAAAATGTTTCAAAAAGGAAAATGTGAGACTTGGTCAGAGCTTTACAGAAATGCAAGCGTGAGAGGAATGAGAACTGTGTACAAGTCATGCGTATCTAGTCCCAAACTGAGGACCAACATGCCACTCAGAAACTTCAGGATTTGGGGGCATTTCAGATGCCAGGTTAGGAATGTACCAACAGGGAAGCCAGGCAAATACTCCAAAATCCAAAAGAATTCCAAAGTCTGAAATACTCTAGTCCCAAGCATTTCAGAGAAAGGATACCAAGCCTGGATTTCAAGCATGATAACAATATGCACAAAAGCAAAAACATACACAGATAACTGGGGAAATCTCATTAAAGCAATACAGCTAGAGCACTTTGGAAATAAGTACAATTTAAAAAGGAAATTAATCTTAGGAACAGATATAAGAAAAACAGGGAAAAGAGAGGAAGAAAGGAGACAAAGGAAGCAAGAGACAGAGGGACATACTAACACCAAACATCACTGAAAGCAACAGCGCGCTGTGCCGCGCTCTGCTGGGGGTCTGGCTCTGCTCTCCCCAATCACTGAGTGGTAAAAAACGAAGCCCACCATTGTAACATGTGAACAGATCCATTCTACATACAAAGAGGCACACACAGACTTGCACATTTGAAGAAATGTCAACTGTTCAGGAAATGTAATTTTATTGGCCTTTTGCGTCTTTCACCACCTTTCACGCTGCTGAGGTTTTTCACAAATTCGCGTGTCTCGGCAGCACGTCCGTCCAACGGGTTTTATGGTATGCAGGGAAGGGTGACAAAGTGGAACAGAAAACAAAATTAAAAATTAACATGTATAAAATCAATTCCATGTAATCAAAACACAGGAGAAAATAAGAAATCTTTTCATGATACACCTCTGGGCAACATTTTGTTATTGCAACATGATTTTAAAAGACATTATTGTAAGCTGTTACATATAAGACAATATCAAAAATACATACATTCATACATTTTGACAAGAAACAGCAAAAGATAAATATATACCAAAAACAAACCCAAAAAGACACAACTGCTCAATCTGGGCAGAAATACCAATGAAGATGAAATCAGATGTTGCCCCAAAAAACCTAAAAACAAAAATAATTCATTTCAGTCTTGACTCCACATACAAGTCACAGCTTTATCTCTGGTCTCAAGTAATTCTTGGAATTTCATTTTTATTATATATTTTTCAGTTCACTTATGTATCTAAACATTACTTAACATTATAACAATTTATTAACTGCTTCTATATATTTTCTCAATACACCTGATAGCACTGGGCAGATAAAAGTTTACCATCCCATTGTCAGCTTTAAGTTCTGAATCATCAGTCCAGAATGTTGCCCCCTACCCAGAAATATCAAAGAAAAATCTTGGCATTTAATCACGTAATTAAATTACTTCTTTAGAAAACTTCTAGAACACTTATTAAATTCAATATCTGAGTTAACTCTCTTGCATATTTCTGTTAAGAAGACTGGAATGAATAATTCTCGTGAAATTAAATACTTTTTAAAAGTAAAAGACTCAATCTTTCCATATTTAACACAAGATAGAAAACTAATGCTCTTTTGGTAAATACTATTGAATTTTCTTATGGTATCAGTTAGAACACTCTGGAACAGGCTCAGCCATTCAGCACTGGAGATGTTTCTAGAAGGCGGCGGTGCTGGGTCAGTGCTCACCCTGACGGCAGGGCCACGTCCTGGCGCTGCTCCCCAGGCACCACACGCACCGCACGTAGCGAGCACGGAACAGTTAGCAGCCGTTAGCTCCCATCATCCTCCCGTCTTCTGCCAAGGGGGACTCTCACTCGGCCTGCTGTGTGATCCTCGCACATCTGCTTAGGGACAGTCACTTCAACTCTGCATTGTTGTCACAGATACTTTAATCCTCAAAATAATGCCTGGTTTAGTTGTACATGCTACTTGCTGCAAAGCAGATCACATTCATTCAGAAAAACGGAACGTCAGTGGCAAAAAGAGTAAACACAGTTATTGGCAAATGCCTGTTAGACAAGCCAGGGCAACATGGTGAAAACCTCACTGGGCAAGAACTAAATAAATAAATAAGCAATAAATAGTATTTGTGCTATCATGTTTCATATGTCTGCTCTAAAACAAAGGTACTACTAAACGGTGGTTTAACAATCTGAAAACAAACTTCTTTGACCCAACGTGTTTGGGAATTACTACTGAAAAGTAAATCTGCTTATCAAGTGTGTTGCCATTTGGGTAAAGTATTAACCTGTTATTTGTGTGTATGTGTGTGTGTGTGTACCAATATTCTTTAATTTCATGAGGCTTTTTTTATATGCTACGTTAATAATGCTTTATGATTAGAATTTGAAGCTTTTGGTAAAGGAGTAACAATAACTCGGCCCAGGGTTGTAGCAAGCCTCCACTTGCGACGCGGGCGCTGCACGTCAGAGCGCCAAGCTGCTGGCTGCCACGCTTCCCGTCTAACCTCCCGCTAACACGCCCGGAGCGCCGCAAAGCTGCTGGCTGCCGTGCTTCCCGTCTAACCTCCTGCTACCGCGCCGGGAGCGCCGCCAAGGACGGCCTGTGCACTTGGACCCCAGCTAAAGACGACTGTGGGAAAGTTCAATTCTTACAAAACAATTCCATGACACCTGCTTTTGGCTTTTCCTTGTTTGTTTTCTTTAGTGTCAAGTTCCAAAAACAACCAGCAACTGAAGTCAGTTTTCAAATTTAAACTGATCACAAAATTAAAATTGGAAGATAATCTGGGAAATATTTAAATATTAAATTTTCAAATGTCTCCCCCAAAATGTTTTATGAAATGGCAAGAATTACTGAGACTATTTTACACAGATCCAAACCATGAACTCAGCAGGGAGACTTCCCTCTGTGTTACAGCATCACCCAAGGGGAAACTGGTGTTTGCAAATACATTCTCTTAAATACCTATAAGAACAAGTAACAAGACTTCCATAAAAATGGGAGATACCACAACTGCTGAAATTCCTGGAAGTGCTTAAAAGCCTATAAAAAAATCTATTTCAGAGAACTCAGACCAACAGAACACTTCTCAGTGGCCCAGGGCCAGATGAAAAGGGTAAGCCTAAGCATATTGCAAGGACAGGTGTAATTCATTGTCAGACAGCAAACACCTGTTGAGCTGAAGTAAGAATTCAGGACGCGTCCCTCCAGTTCACACCCCAGCATTCTGGCACAAGGATAGGTCAGAAAACCTGTTACCGCTCTCAAGGTTAGTTCTTTAAGATACACAATACCTGAACCAAGCACAGAATCGTATATGGCATATAATCATGTGGTCAGCTTAAGTCATACGAGAAAATACATGTTTGTTCCGTGGTCGCTATTTATTATCGGTGGTTTGCGGTCCTCTTCACATTTTCGGTGGCTGTTTCCCGCTGGTGTCATCCACCAGCTCTCTCAGGCGAGACAAATGGTGCAAGGCCCTTCACACAAAGTATAATAAACATCGTAAATACACCAGGAAGGACTGACTGGCCAACGCAGGCAGTGAAAGATGACAATGACGTTGTCAATTTCAAAGACAGTATGAGAAATTAACTTCAAGAACAATAAAAACATCAAATTTTGAGAATTCTCCTTTGTACAACTTTGGGATCTGAACAGTCACAATATTTTTCTAGAGTTTTAGAAATTTTTACTTAGGAGATTATAATTTTTTACATTCAACTTTTAAAAGTTACTTTGTTAGGAAGCCTAACAAGAATAACCATCACTGGTGTAACTGTGCCTGTGATGACAGTTACTGATGTAACACCGATGACATGTGCCACGTATTTTCCATGTAATTTTCCCCATAGTTCTATGAAGTAATAACTTCTTCAGGTGTGTTGCATATATCACTTAATAAACATAAAATTCATCTTTCAAATTCAAATTTAAGATAGCTTTAAACAATATATTAAAAGAGCTCTCAAGCCCAGCGTGGTAGCCTAGTGGCTAAAGTCCTCACCTTAAACACACCGGGATCCCATATGGGTGCCGGTTCTTACCCCTTCTAGTCCACTTGCCATTTAGCTCCCTGCTCGTGGCCTGGAAAAGCTGTAGAGGATACCCCAAAGCTTTGGGACCCTGCACCGGCATAGGAGAACCAGAAGAGGCTCTGGACTCCTGGCTTCCAATCAGTTCAGTCCCAACCTTTGCAGCTGCTTGAGGAGTGAACCAGTGGAAGATCTTTCTCTTTGTGTCTGCTTGTTTCTGTAAATCTGACTTTACAATAAATATAAATAAATCATCCTTTAAAAAAAAAAAAAGAGCTCTCAAGAGGAAAACTTATTGTATATAGGGGAAACCAATGATTTTGACAAAAAGACTGAATAAAAGTTGTTAAACATCTGATTTTTCCTAAAATAAAGCAAGGATTTCCTAGGCCTCACTGGAGAATCCCCTTAATTTCCAAGCTTCCTTCTAAACAAATCCTACAAGCTTTTCTGTACCAGATCTTCCCATTTCTTGGAAACCAATCAAGAAAATACTAATTAATCAATCCTATACATTTTAGAAATAAGGGACACTAGGAAAAATAGACAATATTAAGGATATCTGTGGTAATCTCCAATGGCAGTAATTTTCATTAAGTAATAGTGATTATAACACATATTGTTTCCAACGTGGGAGGAGTAAATGAAATCAATTCAAATAATGTGTTTGGTGCAAAAAACTTGAAATTCGTGCATATGTTTTCATAATCTGCATTTTCCATGAACTTTTTGAAGATACCTTACATATTTAAGGCTCAACAGATATTGACAAAATAAAGCACTCTTTCCCTTTCCCCACACAGCAGACAGGAGGCAGCCAGCAGTGCCCGCTGCCGTGGGAATAGCTATTTCCCTGGACTTCCTAGACACGTTCTAACTCAAAGGAAGACTGAGTGTCCGTGCTGCTCCCAGCCCCCAGTGTGGCCCTGAGGACTGAACTAGTAGATGGGAACAATCATCATGCTTCTGCCTCACAAACAAATAATCATAACAATAATAATTTTAAAAACTAGAATAGGGGGCCCAGCGTGGTAGCCTCGTGGCTAAAGTCCTTGCTTGCACGCGCAGAGATTCCATATGAGAGCCAGTTCGTGTCCCGGCCTTGTTTCCCATATAGCTCTCTGCTTGCGACCTGGGAAGTCAGTGGAGAGCGGTCCAAAGCCTTGGGACCCTGCACCTGCACAGGAGACCCGGAAGAAGCTCCTGGCTCCTGGCTTCGGATCAGCTCAGCTCCAGCCTTTGTGGCTGCTTGGGGAGTGGATTATCATACGAAAGGTCTTCCTCTCTGTCTCTTCTTCTCCCTATATATCTGACCCTCCGACAAAAATAAAATCAATCTTTAAAAAAAAAAAACTAGAAATGGGATCACCCAAATGGCTACATAAGGGAAAGTCATGATGATTTTCAACATGGAAAGATGCGCCAGCGGGAAGTAGAAGTCAAATCATCCCTGTGTCAGATATCAGGCTATACATCAGAGCCTGAAAGATTCAGATCAATCCCATTCTCAAAAGCTACAAAAAATTTAATCCTGGGTTAAATTTAACTAAGGATGCGAAAGAGCTCTACAACGGAAATCAGAAAACATTAAGGAAAGAAACAGAACACACACACACACACAAAATCCTCTATATTTATGGATTTAAAATATCATTAAAATATCCATCTATGCAAGTGATATATACATAAGAATGAAATACAAAAAAAAAGAGTGAAATCCTGTCCTTGAGAAGTGTAATAGCTGCGGCTCAAGAACACCCCGCTCAGTGAGCAACACCCGTCCCAAGAGCGCCCTCCCTGGCTCGTGGTAATGCACAGAGCACCAACAGGCACGATGCCCAGGACGCACTGGACAGCCGAGGCACCTGCTCACAGCTCTCGGCTCGGCTCTCGAAGACAGGAGCTTTTCTACTTCACAACTGCTGACTTTTTTTTAATTGCAGGGTTAGCTGGTGATTATAAAGTGAATTCAAAGTTTGTCATTGCAAAACCAAAAGAACAAGAAAGGAGAGAGGCTGGGTCCCAGGGGATGAGGAAGGGGATAGTAAGCATCCTTGTGGTCTTAGATCTGTAGATATAAAGTACCTACATTTTAAACAAAATGTTCTAAGATGGGTGTGGTGAGAGCTGTATAGCAAATATATTCTGAGCATTTATATTCATTGTATTTTAGATGTCCAAGGGGTTCTGATTAGATTCTTCATATATTTTAAATAGGAAATCATAGAGATTTAAGAGAATATTTTTCCCTCCAGGAGTAAATGGTGTGCTCCAAGAAGCTTAACTCTGACTAGCAGTTATCCAGTGCTGGAACTTTGTGATTTCAGTCCAATCAACACTTATGATGAATTTATGCACATATTCTTAAAGAATACTTACTTTTGAAGTGACTTTGTAATGGGAATCATACTTTCTCTCAATTGTAATGTAGAGAAATCATCTTCTGAACTCTAAAATTAAAACATAAAAAATGTAATTAGGAAATGCTATTTTAAATGTGATTATGAACATTACAAATATTTCTGTGCATCTATAGAATTCTAGTATGTCATTTTTAACAAAGCATTATATGATTTTTTTCTAAAAATACACACATACTTACGTTTATCTTCCAATAGTCCTAAAGTATGCTTGTAAAACATATTAAAAACTATATGTTAGCTTGAGGTTACAACTTTACTAAACAACGTTATATCTTTTTTCAAAGATTTACTTCTTTTTATTTGAAGGTCTGACACTGCAATGAGAAGGAGAGACGGAGAGGTACTCCATCCACTGGTCCACTCCCACCAGTGGTTGAAGTTGAGCTGATCCCAAGCAAGAACCAAGAACTTCTTTCCAGGTCTCCCACGTAGGCACAGGGGTGCAAGGACCAGGGCCATCCTTCACTGCTCTCCCACGTCATAAGCAGGGAGCTAGATCAGAAGTGGAGCAGCCAGGACAAGAACTGGCACCCTTATGGGATGCCAGCAACACAGGAAGATGAAACCAGTGCACCACCACACTAGTCCCACAATGTAACAGCACGAAGATGCTTAAAGGGGAGAGAGGACGGATTGTAGATCCACATGTCATTGTTATAATCATTAGAAAACTAAGCAAACAGTTCATGTAAGCAGGCGTTAGCATTTACTGAGTATTTTACCAGGTATCAAATACTAAAAACAAGTATTTTAAATAATTTATTTCAGTTTCCCTTCTCAAAAATTCATTTTACAGAAAAGAAAACATAAATGAAATGACAGGTGCAAAGACACACTGCAGGATCTCACAATCAATCTTTGAAAAGTCAAACTCAAATAAAATTTGAAAAGTCAAATAAGAGTAAAATGGTGACTAGTGGGAAAGCAGTGGTTGTGGTTAGAGATGCTGGTCAAGCACTACAAAACTTGTTAGGGAGAGTAAACTGAAGAGAGCTATGGTGCAACATGGTGACTGACCACAGTAACGAATAATGCATTACACACTGGGAAATCACCGAGAGCACACTTTACGTTTTCATCACAAACAGTAAGTATGTGACATGATAGACAGGTATGGATGTATCAGTTAAGCATGATTAGCCATTCCACAATACACACATATTTCAAAACCTGCGGCACATCAAAAATCTATATAATTTTTGGTGATTAAAAAATAACTAAATAAACCAAAGGAAATCAAAAGATGTTAAGCGATTTATAAAAATGCTGCACTTGTTCACAAGTGGCAGAGTTAGAATGCACAGTCAGACTTGGGAGAAGGAAAACCCGACTCAAATGCTCCTTCACAGGATAATCTGAAAGGAAAATCCATCCCTTACAGAACAGCAGCCCAAAGCAGAAGCAGAGCCTCACACTCCTAGGAAACGCGCAAAATTAAACAAGCACGATGACCCTAACATAAACCTCTATGTAAGTATGTCCAAAACAGTGAACACACACAGAGGAATAAAATTAAATTCTAAATGATGAATATATTTAAATGTTCGGAAAAGCTTTTCTTGGTTTGCCCAAATGGAACAAGTTAGACTACACAGATTAATTTTGCAGGACATTAAGCAATAGCTCTTAGAATCTTTTCATACTGTCACTGGAACACACATTGAAATAAAATGAATTTATAACCATGAAATTAAATAATGATTTCCAACGTAAAAAAACAAACACTATAGAATCTAATACTATAAATGTGAGTAAATTATTTTCCTAAAAATGAATTATTATACAACTCTATTTGTGGGAGACAGCATGCCTGTTAACACAGATTTATAATAGAGAAAAGACATAGGAAGCAATTTTAACATAAGAAACAATCTTCATGTAAACTCAGACCTCAATTCAAACAGCAAGTCTGTGCTTACCTGCTTGAGTCCTTCCTCTGGCTCCGTACTTTTATTCTGATTAAAGCTTTCTTGTACTGCTTGGAGATTAAATAACATTTGTTTCAGGGCTTCAACAGGACCATGGTGTCTGCCTCCAGAAAGGGTACAACTCTGAAGTTGCAACAAATAATAGCAGAAGGTTAATCACTAAACCTTGGGAGAAAAGCGGTCTTGTTTTACGTTTCAATAGAAAGCCAACATTAATATCCAAACAATACACGTCAGAAAGTACTCCACGACAGCAAATTTGCAGGGGCAGTGTTCTCATGCCTCGGGTTTTGCTGCCTTCGCAATGCCAGCATCCTGTGACAGACACAATGCTGGTACAAGTCGCAGAGTCTCTGCTAATGTGGAAAGGCAAGAGTAAAGGGCCTAAGTGATGGGCCATGCCACCACACCACCACGCAGGAAACTACAACCATGTTCCTGACTCCTGGCTTCCGGGTCCAGCCTGGCCCAGTCCCCACTACAGCAACCAAAGAAGCAGTAAACCAGCTAATTAGAGATTCACTTTCTCTCTCTCCTCCCTCCCTCCCCCCACCATTTTACATTAATTAAAGAAGTCAGAATTGCAACACAGCACTTTTCCATACCCAAAACCCATATAATGTTCCTTAGGCAACCATCCCAGAAATTAACCCAGCCATCTACTAGCAGCAAATACCAAACAAGCTAACACCATTCCCTGGAGAAACGACAGGCTCTTCAACAATGGGTTTTGGGAAAATTGAATTTCCACATGCAAAAGTTTAAATTGAGACCCCCACACCACCTTACACCCTATTCAAAAGTCAACTCACAATGGGTCAAGGGTCTAAACTTAAGACCTGAAGCTATCACATGACTAGAGGAAAGCATAGCGAAGATGGTGCAAGACATTGGTCCAGGCAAAGACTTCTTGAACAAGACTCCAGAAGCACAGGCGAAAAGAGAAATAGACACGGAATTACATCAAGCTGTTTCTAGAGAGTAAAAGGAGCAATTCACAAAGAGTCAACTGACAGGATGGGAGGAAATAATTGCAAACTATATGCACGCTAAAGGATTAATATGCAGAATATATAAGAAGCTCAAGAAACTCCACAACAACAAACCAAACCACAACAGTATTCAATACCAGGTCTGCTTAACTTGAAATACTAAAATAAACTACTTATAATTCTGGAAGGCATATGGATTTTTGGATATGTGTTAGGGACGATATGGGTCTTTCTCTGAAAAACATCTAACTTAGAATTTAATATATAAAAATAAATGTCAATAAATATATATGCATATATAGACACCATAAGTAATCTTTTAGTAAGTTGAAAAGATTTAACTTCCCCTACCTGATCGTCATTATTTAAGAAGTCTTCAAGAACCTGGTTGGCACACTTAACCCTTGCACTTCCACGAGGACTATCTTCAGAGCTGACAGGGACAGGAGATTTGCTACGCGTGATTTAAATAAATACAAGGTATCAATTAAGTTCTCAGCTTCTAAAAAAGTAGTATTTAACTTTTGATTTTTCATTTAAATACAAACGGTCACCAAGAAATCATCATCGTAGATAACTGTCATGATGTTGAAAAGCAGTAGCTGGCTCCACTTTCTCCCTAAATGACACCAGAATTCAGTGCCTACTACCTCCTTTCTGCTTCTGTCAGCCATAAAAATAACCACAAAGAAACACAAGATACCGTTCCTCAACCGAACCAGCAAGTCATCACCCAGAGATTATGCACCAAAATCTCACTTTGTCTAAAACAAATAGTACTTTTTAGAAATAATAAACAAGAAAAAAAAAACATGAATTCCTAGGAGTTTCTACTGGAAGGACAATTTCATGCTCTCTTACTTTAAGGCAATAGGACAGACTTGTACTCCAAAACTGGTACTGACATAGCACAGATCACCTGGGAAAAGGATTAATACTAAAGTTAAATTTCTTAGGACAAATCCCAGTCCCACTCATTTATTTAGATGAATTTCAGTGTCTATGCTGTGGTCCCTCCCCTCTGTAAGATTAGTAAGAGGTGTTGCAAAAATTAACTAAATTAATTCTCTGTGCATCTGGTGCGTTTAATGGTTGTGGTTAATCACGTTTCTGCTGCTCAAGGAGCGGTAAAAGCAAGAGCATCCCAGGCGGGACTGAGACTGTCCCCCAGTCAGACTCGAAACTCACTGTCTTGTCGGTATGTATCATTATAAAGTATTTGTAACTCGAGTCCTCACACACTAATTCTTCTTATAACCTTTTTTAAAAATATATTTTTATTTTGAATTTTGAATTATGTGGTACAATTTTGTATAAGCTGGGATTCCCCCCCGAACTCCCACCCTCCTGTCAGATTTTTCCCATTTTGTTACAATAGTGTAGTTCTTCATAGGGAATCATAATTCTATCAGTCTCTCATTTAAGTGTACCCCAACACTGTTGGTAGAGACAACGTCAGACAGTCCAGCATCCCATTGTCTACACATGTTCAACAGTTTCATTGGGAATCCATCTTTCGTCTGGATGCAGGGAAGCATGTTCCATCAGACAACCTTTAAATGTCACAATATTAATTTTTTTCTTAAAAAGCAGAACTTCAAAAAATTGAGAGTGACTTAGTGTAAGCTTTCTCACTTGACATTTCTCGTCCCTCTTTCTTCCCCAGCGTAGTTTTGACACCCACCATGTTATCCAAGGGCATTGACCTGACTTTTCAAGATGAGTGCGGAGCGCACACTCAGGTACTGCTATTCTACTTCTGTATTACCTGAAACTTTTCATAATAAAATGTTCTTTAAAAAAGCTATTATCTGGCTGTGGCTTTGGTCTATCTTTCAGAGTACTACAGTTAGCACATATTAATTTTGTTTCAACTTAATGACAGGTTGCTAATCTTTCAATCTCAAACTGCGGTCTATTCATTCTTTCACCACTACAGCATTAGTTTGATCTATAAACACATCCATCACAGTGTAAATTCTCTCTTCCAAATATGAACCAAATATGAACTACTGTAGACAAGATACTGAGCCATTTTGATGGTATTAATTATACAAGTTATATCATCTCATTACAACACACATTAAATGCGTTCAGAAATTTTACACTTGATTTAAACATTTCTGCTATAACTTTGACATATAATATCTGACATAATTTAAGCATTCCTGACATATTACAGACTCATTGATTTTGGTTCCAATTAAAATAGTGCAGTTATAATAATTTACACAGGCCAGCTGACAGAAAAATGAAACACTCAGAAATAAAAATAAGAGTTAAATAATGAGTTCAGACCCGTTTTTTAAAAAAGATAATGTGAAATAACATGAGAAATAATGCTAAAAGGAGAAAACAAAAAATCTTTAGTAATAGAGTCAAATCTAGTCAGAAATTATTCCAAGAAATGTATATTCATTTTCTAATCAATTGAGTCTATGTTATAACCGCGAAGTGGCTCCTGCTTCCCATGCTTCTGTGTGTCTGAGAGAGGGAGCTGACGTCTCACACACCCGGAAAGTGGCACACAGGGTGGCCAACAGAAATTACAGTCAGTATGTACAAGCAGGACGAGGTGTTAAACTTGGGAATCAATCAAGAAAGAATACAAAAATTAAAAAATTGTTAAGACAATTACCAGAGTCAAAGGCACGAGTTTGGAGTTATTAATATGCCCAACAATAAAACTTTCTCGTGTAAGCCCCCAGTTTATAACTACACACACACACAGAGTCAGCCGTCAATGAACACTTTTTAAACGAATCTGAGCAACTGTCACAGTAGAGCTAAGCACACAAATGAAAAGAACCCCAGAAACTACAGATATTTAATAACAGATCACATAAGAAAATACACACCATCATTTAACAAAAATGACAGCTAAATGAGAAGGTAAAATGTAAATGAGAAGTGATAGATAAATCCAATATATGGCAGGAACACAAGGGTGGGGCTTACAGGAAAATGTTCACAATAAATTCACAGCACTAGTCCATCTGCAGAAAAGCAATTTTTGTTGTAATCCTTCTATTAAGATATCAGTATTCATAGTGAAACCAAATGAAACCATAAGACAGAAGCTATATGCAGCACCTAGGATTATGAAGCATTACCCCACCTTGTGGTGAATAAGGAAAAATACACCTTTGAAAGCAAGCCTGAAAGCTGTTCTAAAAGAAAAAAGCTATGTTCTTAGGATCTGCCATCATTGTTAAGTAAGTCATTTAACATATAGATCTACTGTAAAGTTCTCCCATTGTGACTTACTTACAAAGGAACAGGAACATTTTCCCATGATCGCTCTGCTTCAAGTTTATCTAAGGAGCAAGGACTGTCATCCTTCTGCACGGCCCTTGGTAAGTCTTCACCACGCTGCTCTAGATTGCTCTTGGCCTTCAGGATAAGCAATTCAATTTTGTCACCTAATTTTAAAAGACTATATTACTCCTTAAGAAAAAAATTAGGGACAAGGCATAACAAAATCTGGAATCTATATAATTGAAATTATATAACCTGGAATATGCATATATTAATAAAAGCAAACTTTTTAAAAAATGTGCCATTTCAAGAAAACAAGACACTTTAAGTACAAAATGATATTACATAAATGAAGATTATAAGCATTCTAAAAAGATAGCATTACATCAAGAGTAAAACACAAACATTCTTAGCTATAAGTCAAGTAGTCTTCCTTTGGTTTAAAAATAACTTTTTTTAAAAAAAACTAAGAACAAAGTATTACCACTGAATGGTTTTTTGGCTTGTCCTGGGAGAAGTGGATTTTCACACTGACAGTGGCTATGTTCAGGATCACATTTGTATTTATTATCTAATCCTTTATCAACACTCAAGGCATTAGAAAAGTTTGAGGGTTCCAAAGCGTATTCAAAACCATCGCATTTATTCGTCAGCCGAGAAGTTCTTTGGGCCTGATAACTGTGTCTGGGGGAGCATGGATCTTCCTTAAATGCTGTATAAGCCTGCTGACCGTTCGCGTCGGGTAGCAAATCTTGACTGTGGAGCCAGACTGGATATTTGGAATCGGGTATACTAGTGACTCCTGAGACATTCAGGTCGGATTTCTGGCTCGTGAGCCATCTCGGATAATTCTTTTCAGCGCTGTGTTCTGACCTGTCCTTGAAAGGTGACTTCTTGGGGAAAGAGGAAGATGATTCAGAAATGCATTTATTGGTCCTATTCACAAGTTTGGGGTTTTTTAGCCTCCCACACTGCTTTCCACTTTTGCATGTGTACACAACAGGAGTGACTAATCTATCCTTGTCCATGGGAGCGGCAGGGTCTTGGAAGTCTGAACTCTGTTCAACGCTCAGCGAACCCAATCTTCCGAAGCTTTTCTTGTTTTTCTTGCCTGCTCGATGCCCTGCTCGGACGTAAGTGAGATCCAGGGATCCATCCGCTGGAAGTTTCAGCAGATCGTCAGTTGTTAGGCTGACAGAGTCTATGTCTTTAAAAGTCTCTCTTCTGTTGGGTAGGTTTAAGGAGTTGGAGTGCTTTATGCAATCAAGATTTTCAAAAGCTGAAAAAATAAAGCACAGTTCTGTTTAGCTTCGTCACACAAAACCCCCGCATGACATTCAACACTAAAGAGTTAAGGACAATCGCCTTCGCTATTTTTGCTTCATCCTCACTAAAGCGTTGATTAAAACAAAAAGGCATAGGTTAACAAAACAGAATATGTTTCCTGTCTGTTATCTCTCCAATCACCTGGATTTTCCTGTATTCTAAATTGACTATTACTTTAACTCTTTTTCATTTAGATATATCTGATGTATTAATACAATCACATTGACATTGTGTATTAGTTAATTTATTTGAATGGCAGAGTTAGAGAGGGTGGGGCAACAGCTGATGGGCCATTTGCTGACTTGTTCACCCAAATGAGCATGAAGGCCAGGGCTGGGACGGTATCACTCAGTATTGGCTTCAGCACAGAAATAATATGCTCTTCAATAATTGGGATTAAAAAAAATAATTGGGATAGTAACCTGCTTTCCTACCTAATCTTGCACTGGCATTGCATCTACAGAGACCAGCTGCTCTAACTCACTTTTAGAATATACTGCCCATATCACTTAGAGCTGGAATACAAACCTTTACCTAGACCCATTCTTGAAGTGCTCGGTGAGGTGTCAGGACAGACATTTGGCAGAGTGGCTAGGACACTGTTTCTCAGCAGCGAACCTGCCTTCAAGTCCTACCGGCCCCCACCCCCAGCCGGCATGGGGGCATGTGATAGCTGGAGGACTCTGGGCCCTAAACCCTACGTGGAAGTCTAGAATGAGTTCCTCGCTCCTGGATTCAGCCTGGCCCAACCCTGCACGTTGGAAGTATTTGGGGAGTGAATGAGCAGATAGGACAGTGAGCCAGGGGAATAGGAAATTTTTCTCTTTCAGATAAAATAAAACTTTCAAAGTAGATCATTTAAAAACTCATGTTCTTATAATAATATTTTAAATAGCTTATATGCATTCTACGAACTCCTCAGAGAAGATCTTCTCAAAAACAGTATGTTGTAAACAGTATTGTCTGACACAGATCAAAAAGGCCAGCATAGTCCTACGCCATCTGTTGGAACTGAGCAAATATAAATGCAAAAGTCAGGGCTTGTATAAAGTCATTTAGTCAGTGAGCGAAAGCCATAAGGGACGTGTTCACGCTCTTTTCATTACGCTACAGTCAAATGACTTGACAGTTTAGCGTAGGTTTCTTCAGGCTGCAGAGTGTCTGTGTTGTGGCACACCATGCTAAGTAACTGACAGCATCTAATAACAGTTCAAGGCCCTACCGCCCCATTGCCAACCCGACTCCCTAACACACCTGGGAAAGCAGATGGCGGAGACCTCGGTGGGGTCCCGGCCTCGCGCTGCAGCCTGACCCAACCCTGGCCTTCAGGAAATTTGGGGGAGTTAATCAGTAAATGCCCCACCATCTGTCATCCCCACCCTCTCTAACTCTGCCATTCAAATAAATTAACTAACCTTAAAGACAAAAGGTTCAAAGAAGACACAGATGAAAATTTCTAGGAACTAGGCAATCGTATTATCGTACAAAAACAGCTACATTTCAAAGTTATATCATTTTAAGTTATTTGTACTCCAAAACACATCAAGTTTTATAACACTACGCCACAACTCTCAAAGGTTTTAAATCGCTGGAGAAAGGAAAATGGAATCAACGCATACCACTGTGTGACGGATAACTATGGCTGGAGAACCGGCGCGCACGAGCAGACCCTGTGTCAAGGCTCACTCCCCCAGGGTTTGCACCTGCACCTGCATGCATCCGGCCTAGGTCATAGTCCTCGATATAGGCCTGCAGAGCCTCAGAGGCAGAACTGTACAGCTTGTTCTTGAAGTGGAACGAGCCGTCAGGGTTCGAGGAATTCCTCCCACTCAGGTCACAGCTTGCCAGGAGAGAAGAGATGGAAGATCCCTGGGAACACGTCCTGTGTCTCGTGTTGGATTTGGCCATGGCTTCCTCAAACCGGGTTGTTTCCATTCACTTCCCTTAAGGACAACTGCAAAATGAAAATACAAGGTGAGGATACCAATTCAAGGGAATAATAATCTCCAGAGAAAACAACAAGCACGGAAACTTCTGAAATTGTAAGAAATAACATCCGTGCTCTATAAATAACACTGCCTGTTAGGCATTCTAGATGTTTTTGTTATTTCTTCCATCAATAATTTAGAAAACATTTATTGAGCACCTGTTATGTACCTAGAGATATAAATAGAAAACTTGTCTTGAGAATATATAAAGTACCAAAGAAAAACATTCACTTGTTCTTTCTAGGATTTATTTATCTTTATTGGAAAGCCAGATATACAGAGAGCAGGAGAGACAGAGAGGAAAGATCTTCCATCCGATGATACACTCCCCAAGTGGCCACAATGACCAGAGCTGAGCCGATCCGAAGCCAGGAGCCAGGAGCTTCTTCTGGGACTCCCACGCAGGCATAGGGTCCCAAGGCCCTGGGTGGTCAGTCCTTCACGGCTTTCCAGGCCACAGGCAGGGAGCTGGATGGGCAGCAGGGCTGTCAGGATTAGAACCAGCACCCATAAATCGGGATTAGCCGGCACGTGCAAGACAAGGACTTTAGCCATAAGGCTACCACACCGGGCCCCAGAAAAAGTATCTAAAATAAGAAGGAACAATAGAGAATATCTACTTTTCTTTTTGCTAGTGAGTAAAAGTTATCTGACAATGGGAGAACATTCATGACTGCAGAACAATTTATACCGAGAAATACACAACATGTGCAGGCTGAAGAGAGGCTCATTAACTAGAGAGAAAAGAAAACCTAAAAACAGTACCTAGGTGTGGGCAGTTCCAAGATTTCAAGGCGGGACAGTGGAAGAGCTCGGTCCCAGCACTGAAAGGACACGCTCAGTACCTCGAGCGAGGCCCAGGCTGCAGGGAGCAGCGCCCCTGGCCTTCTGTCTCCTTCCATCTCCTACGAGCCCTGCTCTCAGATGCTCAGACGCATCAAGGGAAGGAGAATCTCCAACATCTAGCCTGAACCCTTTCCCCAAAAGACTGGGGAAACAATTTAGATATAAATGCCAACACGTGACTTTAGCTAGTCCTTCCCCCCCCAGATAGACTGGAGAAAATAATTCAGGGTCAGCAAAATGGCTCACTCAGCAAATCCTCCACCAGCATCTCACACGGGCACCAGTTCATGTCCTGGCACCACCACTGCCCATCTAGCTCTCTGTTTATAGCCTAGGAATGCAGAGGAACACAGCCCAAAGTCCTGAGACCCTGCACGCACTTGCGGGAGGGGGGACCCAGAGGAGACTCTTGGCTCCTGGCTTGGGAATCAGCTCAGCTCCAGCCATTAAAGCCATTTGAGGAGTGAAGCAGTTGATGCTCTTTCTGTTTCTCCTTCTCTGTGCAAATCTGCCTTTCCAATACAGATAAGTAAAATTTTTTTAAGGAAATAGAATAATTTATATTTATCTGTTAAAAAAAACCTACAAGTTACTTAATATGTCTTCTTAAAACAACACTATTAATGACTCCTTCACTGTCACTTTGGGCACTACTGTCCCTTTTCAATTGACACATCAGATGCAGCAGTGATGCTAAGATACGGGTCATTCAGCCTCTACAGCTGTTAGATCATGTCACGTCTCCAGAGGAATAACGAAATTAGAACAGCGGTTCAATAAATCCATCATCCAGTTCCCCACAATTACCAACACGCCCCGGCTTCGAAACTGCATCTCCTCCCCCTTCCCTCCACGTCGCTCTCAGGTCATTTTTTGTTTTAATCCCGTGTATCTTACCATTTCCTCCACAGGGGCTTCGGTTCGAATCCCCACAAGAAAACCCATCGTGCTGCAAGAACAAGAATGTTGAGCTTAACTGCAGGAAATGTCAACTCCTGTGATTTAAAAAAAAAAAAAGTTCAGGGTTAATCACGAACGGGAACATCGCCCAGAAAATGAAGAAGTCTTGGCAATCACGGCACCGTGCCTCGCGGGCCGTAGGAGTGAAGTGGGCTGATAAGTCACTGGTGGACGACTTGTCCACGCAGCAGCACGAGCGAAGGCCACAGCAGGCGTTTCGACCCACCCGAAGCCCACCCCAGCGGCCCGGGGCAGGTGTCTGCCCAGGGCATCCCTTCCCGGTGTCCTTAAACCGCAGAGTCCTCTTCCCGCTTCGGACGGTCCACGGAGGGGACGTCCCCGTGGAAAACACGCCGCACTCTCCGCTTAAACTCACCCACGGAGGCGCCAAAAGCGATTTAAAAAAAAAAAAAATCTCACGCTCTCGCCTACAAACCCAGGCCCGTGGCCGGCCAGGAGACGCGACAAAGCATCCCCGACAGGGACGCCGCCCCGCCTCAGGCGGGCTCCTCCGCCGTCACAAGCGAGGGCGACGCCCGCGCTCGCTTTCAAACCGTCCCAACATGGCGCTGGGCCGCGGTGCGCAGGCGCGGCGCTCGGGCGCGGGCGAGCCGGGGCCGGGAGCGGGCGCGGCCACAGGGGCCGCCGCGGGGCAGTGGCTGGCGACCCCTGCTCGGGAGTGTGCTTTCTCCTCCTCTTTCTTTCTGGGGTTGGGAGAAAGGTGTGCGGTGCTGGGCTGACATCCGCGGTGCCCTCCCTCTGCCCCACCTCGTAGGTATCCTCTGCTCGTTTGCGTCGCTGACAGGCTGAGCTTCTTGTAAGGCCAGCCCTGGGACTGTCGGGGAGACCCGGGGTTCAGGGGGAGGCAGATGCGGCTTTGGGGGGCTGCCCTGGTGGGCGCCCCCGGACTCCGGTGGGAGTGTCTCCATCCCGCTCTGACAGCGTTCGGTCCCGCGAGGAGCCACCCTCTGAAGCAGGAGGAGCTCCTCCCTGCGCCTCTGCCTCCCCTCAGAGCGCCTTCCACATCCTGCTGGCAGTCTGGGCTTCCAGCCAGCCCCTCGGACCAGAGGCATCCGTGGGGTGGCGGGGAGGAAGCCCGGCCAAGGGTGGGATTTAACTCTTTAGAGACTTTGATTTTTCAGGGACGGAAAACCCAGCCTGGACTGAGGACCCAGTCAGTCCAGGAAAAAAAAAAACACTGTAAACACAAAAACCCAGTAACATGGGTGAACCCGTCTACAAGGCTGGGCAGGGGACCAGGTTTAAAGGATCCGGTTTCAAGTGATAGATCGAAATAGGAAAAGATGCCCGCTCAATATTGGTTTCTGTTTATTTTCCACTGACCCTGTGGATGAAGAGAACTTTGCCCATTACTCCTCAACATGACCCAACTCATCCGATGCTCCATCACCAGGTACTGCAACTGTGCTCTTGCTGTTTGGCTCTTTGTTTTCACTCTTTCCAAGCCTACTAAACCTTACCTCCTCCCCTGTTCTGTTAGTGAAGACGCCCGCAAGATACAACATTCAGTTTATTGGATCCATTAAACACATGTCTACTATAGCAAGCAGTGTTGTGATGAGAAAATGGTAAGACGGTTCCTCTAGGAGTTCTGACAGTCTCAAGAATTTCTAGTCAATCACTTAATCAAGTTGCTGAGAAGAAATAATACAGAGTGAGGAAAGTCCAGGGAGCAACGAAACATTGTGAATGACAAGAGATTTAAAAGCTTACATGCTTTTTACAGTGTTCACTCCTTCCTTACAGTGATATCTTTTTTTTTAAAGATTTATTTATTTATTGGAAAGTCAGATATACAGAGAGGAGATCTGATGATTCACTCCCCAAGTGAGCGCAACAGCTGATCCGAAGCCAGGAACCAGGAGCCTCTTCCGGGTCTCCCACACGGGTGCAGGGTCCCAAAGCTTTGGGCTATCCTCAACTGCTTTCCCAGGCCACAGGCAGGGAGCTGGATGGGAAGTGGAGCTACTGGGATTAGAATGGGTGCTCATATGGGATCCTGGGGCATTTAAGGTGAGGACTTTAGCCTCTAGGCTACGCCTCCAGGCCCACAATGATATCTTAAAATGTCTTTTCATGAATAGTATTTTTAAAGTTCTCAAGCTACCTTTTATGTCCATCTTTGGGCATAGAAAAGACCTTCAAAAAGTCTGTAAATGTATGATAAAAATAACGTATCGATTTTAATGTTTTTACACCAAGATAACCTTAGCTTTGAATTCTGCTTTTCCGAGATTTTTTAAGTTCCTTTTTGTACAACAGATATTTCCTAATGAAGTTATGAAATAGAAGTAAAGCACTGAAAAGATGTAAAGCAAATTAGGAGTTGCAGTATACAAGGGCACTTTGAAAACTTTGTGGAAAGTAGACCTGCAAGACAAAAATAAAAGCACAAATTCTTTTTCTTAACATAAGTATCATCAAGTTCAAGATACTTTTCTTAGTAACAATATAAATCCTTTCTGCCCTAAAGAACATAGGGTTGTAGGAGTTTAGCCATTGCAATGCAGTCATTCTTATGTACTTAAAAGAGCAGCAAAATGGGTGCTATTTAAATATTTTTTTTAAAGATTTGAAAACAGAAGTCGAAGGAGCCAAATGAAGACTGTGAAGTGAGTCCCTGATGGTTTCTCATTCTTACCAATGATTCCCCATTGTAAAACCGCCCTGGGAACAGGGGCATCGTCATATTAGAGAAGGACTGCGGGGAGGAGGCTGCTCTGGACATATTTCTGATAGAACTGTGGCTGTCATGCTCAGAATCCTCTCCTAATACACCTGTGTCAGAATTCTTTGGCCCTGCAGAAATCCAACAGAAAACTTTGCCATGACTTTCCTTCCGGCTGATCCACGCTTGCCTTGACTTGACCGTTCCCATCTGTTGGTACCTTTGCCTTTGGAGTCTTCCTACTTAGGCCATGTTTCAGCTCATGCTAGAATTTTTCAAAACATTTCCATTTTTCATTCAAAGTTCTGCAGTTGCTTATAAAGCAGTTTTAGTCCTTTCTTCAAATGATTTATTTATCCCTTTGGAAACTTACGATTCCTTGAAAATTGTCCCCATAAGCTTTTCTTAAACAGCCATGGTTTTGCTGTTCTTCCATTTTTGATCTTGCTTCAATTTTAGCAGAACTGATTTATCCCACATTGATGCTTTCTACTCTGTAGTGTCTCACTCTGGATCCTCTGGAGACATGTCGTGACAAGTTAGTCGCAGTTCATTTGGGGCAGTTTTCGAAATCTGTGCATTCTTTTCCCATTCTACACACGAATGTCTTAAAAACCCATTACAATGACCTCATCAGTACATCCAAATAATTCCACCTTTTTGTTTCACAGGTTAGGAAATATGGAGATTTCCATGGGCATTTGGAGAAGAGTCCCAATAGTTACTGAAATTTTGAATTAGGTTTGTTAGAAAAGGTAAAGAAACCAAGAATTTGCTAAGAAAAAGTTTTTCAAATATAGAAAAGCAGTTAGATGTTGTGTCTCTTGCAGGAGAACTAAATAAGAGAAAACAGATTTATGACTGCACCTAAAAAGTTTTAAATCTTTTAAAGATTTTTAAATTATAAGGGATATTGTTACAGTTAAACATGGAGAGGGTTTATTGAGTGCCTAAGGAGATGAGACAACTTGTAAGAGTCTTTTGAATGATACATTTGTTTGTGTCTGTTAAGAACTAACCATTCTGATCATTTAGAATAGTGGCCTCACACAGTTTCAAGCACTTTTCCGTATATTAACTCTTGTAAGTTTCATAACAACTCTGTAAAATAGTTATTTCCCCACACTGTACGTGAAGTTCAAATGTTAGGCCGTTTACCTCACACAGTACAGCTGCTGGCGAGAGGCAAAAGGCAGAATTTGAATTTGAACTCAGCTCCATGTTTCTTTCCACCACATCTGTCAGCTTCCCCAACTGAACACGGCATGCTGTGCCATCCCAAACTCATACCAAAATAGGTTCTTATGCAACTGTCTGCTGCCCTATGCCACTGTCTTAGTTCCTGTGAGGTGCTACAACAAATGACCTGCGTGTGTGTTGTAGAGACCGTTGAAATTCACGTCTGGCAGTGCTGGAGGCTGAAAGTCCAGGATGAGGGAGTGGACATTATTGGCCTCTGGGCAGGGTCCTCTTCCAGGACGCATGCTATTAACTTGTGCCTGAAACCAGATTTGGTTGAAGGGGAAAAATGAGAATTTTGTCCTCATGACTTAATCATCTCACCAAAGGCTCCCACCATCTGATACCATCACATGGGAGGTTAGGATTTCAAGATAGAAATTTCCGAGAGAAAAAAGTAGCTATTCAGCCCACTTGACCTACTGAAGCACTAACCCCTAGGTTCCAGTAACAGATCAGTAGATGTGTTTAAATTAAGTTGATCTGAACTTGAATCTGGGGGGATATTATTGAAGCAAAGTCACCAGTGAGACTAAATTAGTCATGTGAACACACTGGGGAGGAATGTTCCCAGCAGAAGAAAAACAAAGTTGAAAGCCGCTCAGTTAAGAAGTCAGTTGGTTATAGTGAGGAATAATCAGAAGTTTAGTCATTGGAGCTGAGTGGACAAGACCAGGAGGCGTGTTTAAAGGGGAAGCCTGGAGTCAGATCAGACAGTGCCCCTGCCGTTCCTTTAAAAAGATGATTTCCAAAAAACATGTGACTGAAGGATTGTGATGCTTGCCAAGAAAAAGAAAGCATGATCCAGTTACTAGGAACGATGTCCGTTTATTGATTGACTAGCTTGTTCCAGGAACTGGAGTGAGATTTTTAAGTGCATTATCTTGTTTAATTCTTACACTAATTTTATAGGGTATTATTCCAGTTTTATACCAGAAGAAAATGTGGAAATAGTAATATTAATGCGATTCAATGACAGAGACGTGATTTAGCCCAGGTATCTGATTCCAAAGTTTAGTTGTTTTTTTTCAGCTTACCATATGTTCTTGTTTAAAAGCTTATGAATAAGGAGAAAAGCGTTCATGCATTAATATCATTGATAAGTAATTATTATTCATTGCTATAGGATAGACACTATGAAGTGATGTTATAATATTAAGTAGCATTTTTAAAGCTTTTACATGATTAAATTCTTACCAATTATTTGTTTTTAAAACTTTGCAGATAGATGGAGTATAAGGCAATTGCCCAACAAACTGCCCAAGAAGTTTTAGGTTACAGTCAAGATAAATCGGGCTGGAAAGTGGTGAAAACTTCAGTAAGAAAATAACTTCAACATGTTTCCAGAGTTTCATTCTGTTTTTTTTTTTTTTTCAATTAGAAACAATTCCTTGTAAAGGAATTTAAGGAATTTAAAGGAAATTTATTAGGATTTTATTAGGAATTTAAGGGAATTTAAAGGAATTCATCTTATTTAAGATATTTGTTTTACATACATAAAAACATATCTTATGTTTGGGTTATTGTTTTCATTATTATCTGACAGCTGATTTGTGAATTTTTACTTTCTCTTTGAGAAAAAGATAACTGTTTACAGCAAAGCATCTAGAAGATTCCTGGGAAATCTGTGAGTACACTCTCCTACTTAGTTTTCAAATTCAATGGAATTAACATACCGGGAATTCAGTGCTAGTTTGTTAAAATTATGCAAGCTATTAACTATTTGGCAATCAACTATTAAGTCACTAGGCTGAAATATTATCATTTGGAAAAACTTATTTATTTATTTACTTACTTCCTTGATAGAGAGAGAGAGAGCTCTCCCATCTGCTGATTCACTCTGCAGATGTTCAAAAATGTGCTGACTGCTGCATTAGATAGCATCACATCCTTACATTAAAAACTAGAGCCGTAAGACACCATAACCACACATACCCCTCATCAGTGATTATTGGCTTATGCTAAATCACAGCAGGTAAATGTTTAATGGATGCTTTTTGGAATAATACTAAGTAAAAAAACAACTATAAAAACATAGACAGAATTTGTAGGAAGATGAACTTTGTTTTTTGGAAAATGAACTTAATATAAACTATGGCAATGCATATTTGAGCCACACAACTTTCAGTTTAATTTTAGTTTACTGAATGCAGATATTACATTCACTGTTAACTTACTTGAATCTTTGTACTTTCATGGTGTTATGTTTTCAGCTTAGGCTAAATTTGCTTTGAACTTTCTTCATTTTTTTTAAAAGATACCGTATTGAAGGGATAATTCCAGAATCAACAACTAAGCTATCTGAATTCCTCTACCAACCTGGAAACAGAGTTTCGTGGGATAAATCGCTGAAAGTGTACAATATGGTACACAGGATAGACTCGGTAATGTGTTAACACTGTGCTTCCCTGCAGTAGTAGATTTTTAGTTTTATATCTTAGTTGGATATTTTGAAAACTGTATTAAGTAGACATTTAAATATGTGGTAGATTCCAATAGAGCTGAAATGTTGAAACAAGCCCTCAAACTTCCTTCGTTAGGCATCAATGGTACAATCCCAATTAGCTTTATTCTATTTGTGAATACATACCACATTCTGAATCTGGTAAACTGCCATGCTGATACCGACCTCCTGTTAAAAGGGAAATAATCTCAGGGACTCACTTCTATGATTTCAAAGGCAAAGATTTAGCATGAATGTATCTTAGTCATTTTACACTAGAAAACAGGAATGACACATATGTTGGGTCTTTAAAACAAGGAATATAGCACTTAAAGATTCAGGAAAAATATAAAGCAAAGAAATAACAGATAAGCTGTTGCCGTTTATTTACATTTTCAAATATATTATCTCAGTTAAGCAGATATGGAGAGAGAATAGACAATGAGAAAAGTACAATGAGAATCGAAAGTTGAAGACAAATGAGAGAATGGTCAGGTTTAGAAGAGGCGATCCACAGGAAGAGCAGGTGGAGGGAAACGTCAGGAGGAGACCACAGTAAGAGAAAGGCAGAAACTCGGGGGACAGTAATACACAAAAATAAGGGAAAGGAAGCAGGCTGCGGGAATCTAAAGGCTGGCACAGCACACTGCTGAGCTGTCATCCAGGACGGCCACCACAGAAACAGCCACCTAAAGGAGGTGATCGTGCCTTCGTCATGCTTTAGAATTTGTTCTCCATCTTTGTCACTGCATCTGTTTTTTCCTCTTATGAATTTATTTGTAGAAGAATCTTGACCTTGTTCCCAACCTATTCCAGACAGATATTTGTGTTGTTTTGACTGGGTAGTTCATTCCACAAACACGTTTGCACTCTCATTATGAACTCTGAACTGTTTCAAGAAGCCAGGATATACAAGGGACAAGAAAGAGCCTAAAATTTTGTCATGAGAAATGAAACAGATCAGTTGACCTTTTAAAAAAAATCACATATTCATGAGGATCATGAAGGCTGTGCTAAATAAGAATATGCATTTCAAAGGGTAATATTCATAGTAAAGTCGATGATTGGAGAGGTTAATAAAGACCTAGTCAGGAAAAGCTTCTGCTATGGCAAGGTGTTTAAGTTGCAACTGAAAAACAACACTGAGGGGAGACACACCTGCAAAGATCCAGGTGGAGTGAGAGAAAAGCAAATGCAAAGGCCTTGGGACTGGAGAGACGTTGGCACTGTTCAGTGAAGAGAGAAACCAGCCTCGTGTGGTGGAAACACAGAGACCAGGGAGCAGGGTGGCAAGAATGGCGTTGGAGAGATGAGGTTGGCGTTAGACTGCTCAAGCGTCTCCTGGTGAATGGGGAGACATTTTATTCTGACATCAGTACTAAGAGGAAAGGGGCTGGTTAGGGCTTGAGAATGCAGTAATGATGAAGAACAGTTAAAAGGCCATCAGAGTAATTCAGATGAAACATCTGGAAGCTCATGCTAGGGTGGAAGCAGCAGAGAAAGGAACAGTTGCAGGAGTCAGTGATTTAGCTTTGAGAGAAAGTCAGTGGTACTTTGCGCAAGGAGAGAGGGTCTTCTAACACTGGATCGTGATGAAGATTGTACAACAGCATATGCTTGAGAAAGCTCATTGAACTGAATACTTTCAGTGGGTGAATTCACGGTTCCAGAAAGCTGTTTGTAAAAGCATCCTTAGGTCTCTGGCTCACAGGAGTCTTCTTAGAAAGAGGTGGTCATGTGACTGATGGGGTGAAACAAACTTTCATGATTTTCCCAAACAAATCCGTTTGTAAGATTCCAGATCACTTGAAATTTGAATCTTTAAGTCTCCAAGCTTCATTCTAATCTCCATGAAAACAGAACAAATTGCTTAAAAATCTGGTATCACTTTGTCATTTATTTAGGACTTTGTAATTTTGTCTACTTTTATGAAACCGATCTTAAAAGACTTAGGGGAAAGAGAAAAGCCCAGGAATGTAAATTAGAAGGGCCCAGAAGCTTCCCCACAAATCACACACCTTGACCTTCCTGGGAGGTGAGCATTCAGTTTGAAAAATACCATCCATCTCAAGGAGAAATGTTGACATTGGACTGATTCATTAACCATCCAGTTCCATAAGCTCTTCAGATACTTCTGCTCTTGTTGCAAATCATCAGTTATAATGGAGAGAATGTTAGACTTGACTTCAACAACTTGAAAAGAGATTCAGAAAGATTATGTAACTTGCCTGGCGTTTCTTCAGCCAGTGTGTGGCAAAACCACAATTTGTGCCTAGTCCGCTGATTTAAATTCTAGGCCTTTTCAAGTACACCACTGTATCTCTGAATGGCTTTATACTGTAAGGGGAGCTGTTTTGCTTTCCTGTTAACATCTGTAGTATTCCCATCATCTCTGGAGCTCTTTTCTGATTGTCTTGCATGCACCACAGTGAATGGAAGGGATTCCCACTCTAGCATTGAGGTCCTCGACAAATGCACACCCCGACACTGGACAAAGGAGATAGGCAGCACTGCATGTCTTAGCCACTAACCACAGACCTAGGACAAAGAACACGTGATGCCACACAGGGCAGTAGATTGAGCAGGCAGGGGCTGTGCAAGACAGGATTTATAATGCCCAGTCCTTCCTGGTTTCTGCAAACACATGATTGGCCTTCTTGAGTAAGTCTCAGGACAACAGAGGCCTCTGAAAGCCCTTCAACCAGGATGCACACAACTCTAGTTATGATGATAACGCAAGATTAGGTGCCAGTTTCTCAGTGTAGGACTGAACGAGCAGGTGATCTCAATTATTTTCTGAATTTTCTACAGGCATAATCGAGGATTATATAAACCCAAGTGTTCTTTTAGCATTGACAATTCCACTTGATTTGGTGACAGTGTGTTAAAGCTTCAAAACTTTATGTTGTCCAAATAAAAGGCAATCTTGTGCAATGAAAGCCTTGAAGACAAGTACAGAGCATGGGTATGAAGTAGTTCCAGTCTTTACGGTCTGATTTGTTACAGGATACGTTCATATGTCACACCATCACCCAGAGTTTTGCCATGGGCTCCATTTCCCCCCGAGACTTTATCGACGTAGTATACATCAAGCACTACGAAGGGAACATGGACATTATCAGCTGTAAGTTGAAACATTTTGGCCATAGTTGGGGATTACTATGAGTTATTAATGGGTTTTCCTTTAATTTTAGATACGATCTGAATCCAATTATTTCCTTTATTTTTCTTATTTATTCAGTGAGACCAACAAGTGTGTATGTCATTACACAAGCCTGATCTTTCCCCCGATTCTCAGGTGGCGTCCCCTGAGCTTCAGCAACATATCCTCCACAGCTCTGGGAGGCATGTACAGACACTTACAGGCTAAAGCCTGAAGGTGTACATTTTTTGAATTCTAAGAAATAAAATTAGTTTGGGGAATATGTAATACTTCAGTTGCTTAGATTAGACCGATCTGCTAAATGTCCAAACTAGTGAAGAAATTTCCACTATGTAGGACTTCATATAAATGTGCTTAAATAGAGTTTAGAAATGTGACATTTGATGTAGCCCAGCCTCCTCCCCACATGTGTTCATCAGTAAAATTAAATTTCTCGTAAGCATTTCTCTACCATTTCATATCATGGGATCTCAGGAGTCTAACTCGTGGCGACGGGATTTGTAATAATGTTGGCATGAAGCTTTTTCTCGGTAGATTGATTTAACTTTGCCATCCCTATCTGGATGATCTCTTCTATTGTAACTGACCTGGGCATGGGAACAATTAAATGTTGTTAATTATTTCGTAGTCAGATTCCAGCTCCTCTGGGATGGCTGCAGTCCTCGGTTTCAGAGTCTAGCGACTCAAGCACTCACTCAGTGAGGACATACAGCACAAAATACCGGGTCTGAATTACGGATCTACTGTTACCTTCATCTTGAAGCCAGCCCAGTTTTATTTCATTATTTGTGGCCAGAGGGAAGTCAAGAAAGTACAGAGGTTAAGATGGACTAGAAAAGTCATCAATCATTGGCTACACAGACTACTGCTGGAGTCTCTGTAAGAAACATTTCTGAATGAATTTTCCATGAATATTTATAATTTTCTTCCCTGGGTCTGACTTGGCAAGAAGCTGAAGTCAGAAATGGGAATTCCACCCAGGTGTTCTCCCCTGGGCTGTGGCTGCCTGGACTGCCACGTCCGGTACCTGCCTCACAAGGAGATATTTCAAGCTACTTTGATTGACAGATCAGCTAGCCGCTTAAAAAGCTTTTCCTTAACATCAACATGAGCTGGTGCTGTGACAGAGTTGGCTAAGCCACCCCCCGCAGGGCTGGCATCCCAGATGAGCTCCACTTTGGTCCAGTTGCTCCACTTCCGATCCAGCTCCCTACTAATGCCCCTCGGAAGGCAGCCCAGGAGAGTGTTAGTGTGGGCCCCTGCTGCTCACCCAACCACTTCCCTCAAAATACTTTTTTAATCTTTATGGAAAACGGTCTCATGTTCATTCCTTTTCATCATCCAGCTAAAAGTGTGGATTTTCCGGGCTATCCTCCAACTTCACATTACGTGCGTGGATATAACCATCCTTGTGGCTACGTCTGTTCACCTCTGAAAGAGTAAGTGATTTCCATTTGTTTATTTTAAAAGCTTTTTTAATTCACCTTGCGATTTAGCTCAGGATTCCGAGCCCATCAGTAAGAAATGTGTCGGTGATTCTGTTGAGATAGAGGAAGCTAAATGTGATTTTGTAACGACATCTACCGTACAGCCACACTAGGTACTTCCCTGTCAAGAGATGATGAGCTGCCACTACTCAAGCACATGCTAACGTTTTCCTGAAGTTAAACTTCCTCCAACGCTTTCCATTTTCCTATTAATTTCCGTAAATAACTAGAGAATGTGAATTAAAGATAAATTTCCCTAGAGTTACAGCACAGTTATCAAATATGAATGCTTTATGTTGAAAAAACTTTTTTTCCAATGGCCCACCTGCAGATTCCTCACAATGAGGGACATGCAAATGAGAAAAGCTGTAACTGTCCCAGGGGCGTCACTGACCACAGGTGGACAGCCTCGGCCTGAAATTGCAACACTGAATTAACATTCCATGAAAGTATGATTGCGAATTGAACATATGTAACCTCACAGATCTCATAAGCTGCTAGGTGGCTTTGTATCAAGTAAAAACCATTGGTACATAAAACTAGATGAAAAACTTCATATTGATGAGATATTACCTTCTCAGTACAAGAAAGACTATTTATGTGAAAGAAACCAAAATAAAGTTAGATTGTAACCTGTATCCCTTCATGTTTCTCTACTCATTTAGAGAACTGTGAATCCTCACAGTGAACTCTGTTTAAGGCTCCAGTCATTACTGTATATATGATCTTTCTATCCATTTGTCAAGTTTGAATCACTGGCTTAGACTTTATTCTTTCTATCAGGGTAGAAATTAGCCATCAAAGGTTTACTATGTCAAATCAGTGAGGTGAATCAGTTGGTGGCAGGAACTCCGGTTGGGAGCTGACAGTGTGCAGTGTGCTGCACAGACCGAGTCTCTTTCAGGCACCTGTCGGCCTTCCGTTTCTGCTATGAGAAACATGGGACAAAAGCTTTGGTCCAGATACAAACCCCATCTGAGTTGTTAAACTGCCTCGGGGTCCCTGTGCCAACCTTCCTCTGGCTTGATGGGTTGCCTGTCTCTGTTGACTCTAAAGCATTTCTGAATACAGAAGAATTGAGTGACATTTAGATTGTCTTCAGCATTCAGGGAACTTCTGTAAACCCCAGCAAGGGGAAAGACTGGGTCCACCAACACTTCATTATTCTCCCTTGAACATTAAGATTTTTCATAGGATTAAATTCATGAAAAGGTTATAATTTTCAACATACTCTAAGCACTGACTTTTTTTTTTAATGGTTATCACCTTTATAAGTAAGTACATCTAGCAGGGTCTCAACAAAACCACAATAACTTAAAACTCAACATCATCTAATCTTTGCAAAATATATCCAATTTTTAGTGGAAATTTTGCATCATTCCTTTCCTCTTTAAACTCATTTTTAAATTTTTTTTACCCTCAGGTACATTATGCTAGTAGAATTTGTTTCATGCTTTGAAATCTGTTTTGTATCACTCTATCATGATTCTCTGCAAAATTGCACTTATTTAAAGTTTTTATATTTGCTTTGTTTCCTTTAACCACAGTATTTAAATGTAAAAAAAAAAAAATCCATGCCAGTTGTTGTTACAGTTTGGCCATAACCAAAAGAAAAAACAAAACTAGCAATTCTCATATAATTATTAACCACAAGGCAAAACGTTATTGGAAATACATATTTTGTTATTAACAAGACTTGGCACTTACTATGTGCTGAGTGCTGTTTTAAACATTGGCTTCCGTTGACTCATTTGATTCCCGAGCTGACAGTCAGCAGTGTTACCTTGCTCAGCTCACACGGAAGTCCCGGAATGAGTCGCTCTCCTCACCTTACGCGTATCTCGCTCCCAACCCAGGCTGATGACTGAATTCATGCCTCTAATTAATACACCCATTTTGCTTAACTGTGCACGGATATCACTAACAAAATGAAACAGCATTCAATGGCATGATGACTGATTGTTTTCATTGGCTAAATATAAAAACTCAGAAACGCACGTTGGTTTCAAATGCAAGCGTCTGACTGGTGCTGTCCGTCAGTGCCTTGAAATCCTTGTAACTTCCTTATCATTAAATCATTCCATGTCCTGTTACCAAAAATAGTTGAATGATCTAGTGGCTACTAAGCCAATTCGATCCTTAAATCTTTTGGAAAGAAAGGGACAGACACGACATGGACATGGATTCACGACCCAGTCATCCTCATTCTCTTTTCCAACTAACTTCCACTGACATCTCTCGAGATTTCCATATGCTGGAGTGAAAGGCCACAGCACATTCAGTACTGCCTCGGACGGTCACTGCGTCTTTGTTCGATGGAGTACAAGACGGAGACTGTGAAGAGGCCGATGGTAAAAAAAGGCCCATGTTTCCAGCAGATATGTTTTCTCAGATAGGTTTGAGGACAAATGCACATGAAAGTTAGGGATTTGAAAATTCACTCCCTTAACAGTATTCATTCTCTCAAACCCAGCTTAAAGATCATTGGGTTAAAATATAAAATATTGGACTTCTTAGAAGATAATCTGTAAATAACATGATAAAATGTTAAATATGCAAATGGCTGCATTGCAAAGATTGGCTTTTGCAGCTTGACTATAGTAACAAAAAATGAAACAGTCCAAATGTTAGTAAAAACTCGTTATAGAATATGAAATACTGTCTGTGACTCTGAAGAATAAGCAGAATAAACATACAGGTAAGTAGTAACAGGGCCTGGCACGGCAGCCTAGTGGCTAAGTTCTCACCTTGCATGCTTGAGGATCCCATATGGGTACTGGTTGGTATCCTGGCGGCCCCACTTCCCATCCAGCTCCCTGCTTGTTGCCTGGGAAAGCAGTCAAGGATGGCCCAAAGCCTTGGGGCCCTGCACCTCCCTGGGAGACCCAGAAGAAGCTCCTGGCTCCTGGCTTCCAATTGGTTCAGTTCTGGCCTTTGCAGTCACTGGAGAGTGAACCAGTGGACATAAGATCTTTCTCTCTGTGTCTGTGACTCCCTGTATATCTGCCTTTGCAATAATAAAAAAAACTTACGTACTTGACAGTCTTCTAAGAAAAAAGTAAAACTGGCTGCAGAAAAGTGAACATACTTAGTTTTACAATAAAATCCACATGTGTTTAAGTGGGCCCCACGTGCAGGTGTGCGTACACGGGCATGTGCGCAGGCCTGCGTGTCTGTGAGACACGTGTAGAGGCAAGCATCTGAGAAGGAACAGCTGAGACTGTAAACAGCCATCGTGCCTGGGGACTAGAGCCAGGGAAAATGCCGCTTATGTTTTCATAATAAGCATGCATACTTGTATAATCATAAAAATCAAATGACAGAAAGTGAAAGGTGCCTGGAACTATGATGATCTTAAGATACACTCTGACTAGCTCTTGCTTGTATGTAGAATTCCTGTAAAGCTGTTTGTGCTAATCGTACACCCCGCCCCCTTACTTCCTGTCATTCACTGATCCATCAGAAGTCCTGCGGGGAGAATAAATGGTAACCGAAGCAAGAATCGCATTCTCTGTCAACTTGCAGATTCAACAGCTCAGCCTCCAAGTTATTTTTCTGTTGTTAACTCTTGCTTACAGAAATCCAGCATATTCCAAACTGGTGATGTTTGTCCAGACGGAAATGAGAGGAAAACTGTCCCCAACAATCATCGAAAAATCCATGCCTTCCAACTTAGTAAACTTCATCCTCAACGCCAAGGATGGAATAAAGACACAAAAGCTCACGGCGTCACGTGACTGTCACCATACCGGTCATTCATCATGCCAAAAGAAGTGACGAGACCCTCCCCTGTGAAATCATGGGTGGCACTCACTGCCCAGTGCACCTGCGCAGAGGCCGCTCAACGATGCTACACTGTATTCTTATACAAATCACTGAAGATACCTTGTGAAACTCAGAACTCACGGCTGTACAAGAAGGCAGCATTAAATATAGTTTTTAACCTCACATAAGAATGATGTTAAATAACCAGTGTTGTCCATACACTTTTATCATTTGCTTTCGTTCCTCGGAAAATGTTCTGTGTAAGAATCAGTAAGAAAGGACATAGTCAGAGGTCAGTGTCGATTAAAGATGAAAAGACACTTGAAGTGGTTCCTTTTTTCACTGCTTAAACTGGGAATTCCCGGAAATGTGAACATAAACATCAGGAGGAATTCCACTAAAATGTAGGCTGATACTTAGAGTCATGCATCAACACTCAGCTCACACGTCCATGTCATTCCTCCCAAGCCCTTCTTGCTACAACCAAAAGATCCTGCAGTCACAGACACGCGAGGGACTCTCACGCGTGGACGGGAGGCAGGCAGCACACTGCCTGTGGGCCTTGGCATCTGAGGAGTGGCAGCCAGTGAGTCACCTGGGTTTCCTTATGGACTCAAACATCTCAGGACACTACAGAAGCCTCCATCCAGGCACCACTCACAGGCACATGCCACAACTAAAAACCAAAAATCTGCCCAAAAATAGCCTGCACGCCCTAGGTTGAAGGTCAGGAAACGGGAGCCCAATGAAGAAGAAGAAAAAAGACACTCCCCACCCTACACCAGCCCTCCACCACATTCACCCGGCCCCGAGGCAGAGCTCCTGTCCCATAAAGTAGGCAGTGATGCTCTGGCACCCTCGCTCTGCCCACAATCTCACGCAGAGCCCTAGCTGTCCCGCGACCAGGGACAGTGGCAGTCTTCCACTCTAGGAGGGCGTGATGATAAGTCCGATCCAGATCCAGATGCAGCTGCTCCAGATCAGAGCTTCCTACTGCCCTGCGCGCGCGCGCGCGCGCACACACACACACACACACACACACACACACACACACACACACACACACACACAATCACTGTTCAACAGGAAAAAGGATAAATACCGAAACACTAAAATAAAAGGATGAGGAGCAGAGTGGGTCACCACAAGCCTGATGCTCGCTGCGCCCACGTCCTGGCAGTGGGGAAGTGCTCCCCAACACAGATTCCACTCTTGGGGAGCTGCTGATGGCTTCGCTGTGCTCCACGGCTTCCAGGAGCCCTCTTGCCAGCTCTCTCCTTCAATCTTTCTGTAAAAATGCATCACTTTTGGGCCCGGCGCGGTGGCGCAGGTGGTTAAGGGTCCTCGCCTTGCACGCCCAGGATCCCATAAGGGCACCGGTTCTAATCCCGGCAGCTCCACTTTCCTTCCAGCTCCCTGCCTGTGGCCTGGGAAAGCAGTCGAGGACGGCCCAAGGCCTTGGGAACCTGCACCCGCGTGGGAGACCCGGAGGAGGCTCCTGGCTTCGGATCGGCATAGTATCGGCCCATTGCGCTCACTTGGGGAGTGAATCATCGGATGGAGGACCTTCCTCTCTGTCTCTCCTCTCTGTATATCCGCCTTTCCAATTAAAAATAATAATAATAAAAATAAATCTTAAAAAAAATGCATCACTTTCTCAGGCTGCTTTCTATAAAGAATGCTGGAGGCCACGAGGCATTTTTTTTAAAAAGATTTATTTATTTTTATTGGAAGGGCAGATATACAGAGAGGAGAACAGAGAGGTAGATCTTCTGTCCAATGATTCACTCCCCAAGTGACCGCAATGGTTGGAGCTGCGCCAATCTGAAGCCAGGAGCCGGGAGCCTCTTCCAGGTCTCCCTCGCGGGTGCAGGGTCCCAAGACTTTGGGTCTTCCTCAACTGCTTTCCCAGGCCACAAGCAGGGAGCTGGATGGGAAGCAGAGCAGCCAAGATTAGAACTGGCGCCCATATAGGATGCTGGCGCGTTCAAGGGGAGGACTTTGACCACTACACTATTACGCCAGGCCGGAAGCATTTTTATAGCTTGAACTATCTTTCAGTGCAAGCACTGGTTTCTGTTAGTGGTTTCTGTTAGCGCCAGGCCCTTTAAAACTTGTTAGTTTTCTGTGTTTGATTATCGTAGACTCCACGTTTAAAAGTCACACCTACCAGTGATACCAAATGCTTCTCTAAATTTTCCTGCTGTTGTCTTTGCCCCAGGCTTCTGTAGAATTTTAAACCATTCAGATGCTCAGTGCTGCACTGCTGCTCTGCTTTCAGAGCTCTGAACCCAGTGCTTACCAGCCTAGCATACCTCTTAGTTTCACTGTGTTGGTGACTTATTTTGAAACTTTGCATGACAGAGAGGCTGATGATAAAACAACAGCTCTACTTGCAAGTTTTTTCGCCTCTGTTGCTTCTGTTTCAATTCAAATGCTTGCAAACAGGACAGCTCTAGTGCTTACAAAACAAAATCCTGTACACCTCCAGCACCTCAATCCTATTCCGTTACGTGCCACCAGATGGCGCCTTCCACATTTTACTTGGAGAGATCTTAGGTCAGGAGCAAAGGTTTATGGGTATATTTTCCATTTTCCAAGGAATTAGAGGTAGCTATTTGACCAGATGTTTCATAAGAGTTTCTGAAAGTCATTTCCTCACCATTACTACAGCCTAACAATTTTAGCAATCCCCTGCTGTCCAAAAGCCAAAACAAGTTTTGTTGTGTATGTTACTTAATATAGAATGAAAAGGGGGTTAAAATGTTTTTAAAGACTTATTATTTGAAAGGCAGAGTTTCACAGAGAAGAGAAAGAGACAGAGAGAACTGGAGAGAGAGAGATCTTCCCTCTATCGGTTGACTCCCCAAACGGCCATAACAGCCTGAGCTGGGCTGAGCCGAAGCCAAGAAGCAGAAGCTTCTTCCTGGTCGCCCACGTGGAAGCAGGGGCCCAGGAACTTGAACCACCTTCCGCTGCCTTCCCAGACCATAAGCAGAAGCTGGATTGGAAGTGAAGCAGTGGCGACTCGAACCAACTCCCATCTGGGATACTGGCACCACAGGCAAAGGCTTAGCCTACTATGCCATGGCACCTGCCCCTAAAATCTTAAGTACAAACATAATAAATCAGGTCTAATACAGATACAGCATGGAAAATGGTTTTTAAAGTAATGGAATACAATTTACATATTATTCTAGGAATAGTTCACAGCTGAGGTAAACAGAAAGGAATGGATTTAATATAAATAATTAGGTAGTTAGAATATTATTTGTAAAAGTAAAAAAAGAAAGTTTCAGGTCTGAAAGGTGCCTTCTGGTATGTCATTCCAGAGTCCGACCAGGGAAGAAACTACTCCTAAGGCTACACTGAACAAACCGATATCCACCCGTCGTGTGTTGGCAGTGAAAATCTGGGCGAACGGAGCTGAGCCAATCCGAAGCCAGGAGCCAGGAGCTTCTCCAGAGCACAGCCGTGATTTAGTGAGTCTAGTTCTTGTATGTAGGCATACATATCTCTCCCCACCCCCCAAATTAAGGAAAATATACCAGAGCTGACCATGATTTCTTTTTCTTTTTAAAGATTTATTTATTTTTATTACAAAGTCAGGTATACAGAGAGGAGGAGAGACAGAGAGGAAGATCTTCCGTCTGATGATTCACTCCACAAGTGAGCACAACAGCCGATGCTGCGCCGATCCGAAGCCAGGAACCAGGAACCTCTTCCGGGTCTCCTACACAGGTGCAGGGTCCCAAGGCTTTGGGCCATCCTCAACTGCTTTCCCAGGCCACAAGCAGGGAGCTGGATGGGAAGTGGAGTGCCGGGATTAGAACCGGCGCCCATATGGGATCCCGGGCGTTCGAGGCGAGGACTTTAGCTGCTAGGCCACGCCACCGGGCCCCATGATTTCTTTTTTATTGAAAGCAATATAAAACGGAACCAATAGGAACATTTTACACGATTTCTTGTTTTGAATACTTGTATGCATTGTGTTGGAATTGACTTCCTGAAACATTTTAAATTAGTGTTTCATCTGGAACAGCTTCACCAACTTCCAACCCGGGAACAATGAGGTTTCTGCGGCTTTTCACCCTTTGCTTATGTCCGTACGATCTAGGGATCCGACCTCGTTCTCTTCCACGCAGCCAGCAGTTCCGTTTGCAGCTCTTCAGGCAGCGCATAGAACACCTGCGGATCAACATCTGAAGGAAAACAGATGTTCTGATCGGCAGTCTCTGGCTCTCGGTGCTCCGTGAGCTCTTCATCCCGAGGGGCTGGTGGGGTCGTCTGCCTGCGGCTATGTGTGGCGTGATCTTGAGGGACAGCTCGCTCACTTGGCAAATCTGGAGCCGGTGGAAAAACAGAAAGAGCAGGGTTTGTGTTTGAGAAGAGGAGCCCCTGGGATTTCTCAGACCCTGGACCCGTCTGGTCATGGTTCAGTCTAATATCGAGATGGGCATCTTTTCGGCTAGACAAAGAGGCAGAAGCCTTGCTCCCGACGTCCGACGTCCCAGCTTCCCCAGCAGACAAAAGGGAGGCTTCCTGGCTCCTGGGTAAACGGCCTGTAGATTTCAAGGGCCCATCTTGCATTTGCTTTGTAGAGAAGTAAGACAGGATTCCTCTAGAGGCACGTAATGATCTCAGGCTTTCCTTTCCTTGAAAATTCTCTGTAGGTTTTCCGGAAAGGATCTCATCTTGAATATCTCTGGGAAGTTGCTTAAAGACTTCTCGGTCAACACCCGCAGGGAGTGAACTCCGTGGCACTGCACTGGCACCCTTCTCTTGGGGAACGTCTATAGAATCCAGGGGACATTCCCCAGTGCTTGCGCTTGCGAGTCTTCCACTTGGTAGAAAAGTCCACTTCGTTTTTTTATCTTTAGAAAAATCTTCCGTATGAATGTCTTTTGGTTCCTAAAACACAGGGATAACAGGATAATTTAGATGTCTGACATCTGTCCGACAGAATCACTGCCGAAACATGCCAGGAGCTTGTTACCTGACAACATGTTTTTATCCTACTCAATGACTTCAAACCTTAAGCATCAGTTCCAAACAACTGGAGATGATCGATGAACCACAAGCGGTCACCGCCGAATGGACCTCGGTCACTCCACCGGCAGGTGCTCTCCGCTCTAGACAGCCCTGAGTCAGGGAACGTGAAGCCCACGGAGATCTCAACAATCCTGTAGTCACACTTCCAATCGTACAAACAGAATGACAGTGACCTCAAAAACACCAATTGAAGTAGATATCCTTTAAGATATAGGAATAGATCATCCATGACTGGTGTTCACAAAATTACTTATCACAAAAGGTCACATCTTATAAAAGCAAAAGTGATTTCGTGATGATAAAACTCTGACATGAATAAGATGTAAGGTTAATTTACACTTACATAAAATCAAAAATGTAAAACACCTTCATTTATAATTTGTATAATACAGTTTTTCACTTAAATTTGCCCTTTCAAGCTCCATAAAAAATGTATACACTTTCAAATACAACTCAGCAGACGTCAATAAAATAATAACTTCAGAAATTAGAAGGAGTACAAGAGAGTCAACACAGAGCCGTTATTTAGCACCTACGGTATGTTAGATATATGCAAGGTACTTTCACTTACGTTTAGTTCTTTAACGCCACACTAAACACGGGGTTTATAATTCCTATTCTTCAGATTCATTAAAACACAGAGCAAATTTCTTTTAAAAAGTCTTTATAAATAGAGAGAGAATACCAAAAAATATATATATAAACAAAGAGGAGGGCCTTCATCTACTACTTCCATAATATTATATTTTCTATTTTGAATTAAATGTAAAAAAGTATACTATTAACAATAAGCATTTAAATATCTGAGTTAGAATTACAAAATTTTAAGATTTTTAAAAGCAGTTCAAATTTACTAAGTAGAGATTTATCTACTTATTTTTTTTCAGATATATTTATTTTTACTTGAAATTTCAGAGAGAGGAAGAGGTGGAGAAAAACATCCCTTCCACTTCCGTCCAGAAGGCTGGGGGCGGGGCAAGGCCTTAGGAAATTCCAAGACTTAAGCCACTAATTTTTCAGCAGTATGAATACTTGGGTAGGCAGCAAGGTTCGGTTTCTAATCTTTGAAGATACCTCTGTATCTATCGATCGGTGTGCTGCCAGAAAGTCTGCTACCTCTGAAGACAGGGCCTGTCCCCAGCATTTTACTCTCCTTCCCAGTCTGATATAGTTCCCGAACACATCACAACATATTTAAGGTCAGCAACCATAATCAGACAGGCGAAGTGACTTCGGAAAGTTTGTAGAAAAGGAAATAACAACACAGTTTACTTTGGTATCAAAACATTGCAATCCATACACACAAGCAGGTTTCCAAAGTTCACAGAAAACACCTACAATGACATAAAAATGCATGGATTTCAAAAACTTTTTGCACAAAACTACTTTAAAGTTCCATTTTTCTATAAACTTTCTGCAGTATCTTCATACCACAGACATGCATATTATCAAAACAATATCACCCCCAACGTCTAAACTGCATGAGTTAAACACAATTCAGACTCAGTGAGAATATACTTACGAAACTGCGCTTGCCAGCGTGTGTAGCTGCTGATGACGGTATTAAATAATGATCCATAGGCCCTTTCTTTGAAGCACTTAGTTCCTTAAGATTGCAGAAGCACACACTTAGGAGTGTAAGGTGGAATGGCAGCTTCACATTCACCATATTTCGAAAAAGCTTCATAACTAAGTCAACCATCGGGGTCATGACATCACTGTGTCCTAAATAAGATGTTTAAGAAGACAATATAGAAACACACTGCAAACGATCTTAGGAGCTTTTTCTATTCCTGAGTTTAAGAAACTAAGATCCAAAATACGTGCCTGAGTACCCTGGCAGTGTTTACTAAACTAGAGCGTCTCAATATTAACACTAAATGCCAAGTGAGCAAGTGAGTCGGTGTTCTTTTTAATTTGTTTTTATTGGAAAGTCAGATATACAAAGAGGAGGAAAGATCTTCCGTCCACTGATTCACTCCCCAAGTAGCCACAATGGCCGGAGCTGAGCAGAGTCTAAGAGCAGGGAGGCTCTTCCTGGTCTCCCAAGTGGGTGCAGGGTCCCAAGGCTTTGGGCTGTCCTCAACTGCTTTCCCAGGCCACAAGAGGGAGTGCATGGGAAGCAGGGCTGTTGGGACAGGAACTAGTGCCCATATGGGATCCTGGAGTGTGCAAGGCGAGGACTTTAGCCACTAGGTTACCATGCCATGCCCTGAGTCGGTTTCCAAAGGATGTGAAATATAGGGTTTCTGGTTACAGTGAAATGACATGGTTGGAAAATCCTCCCCTTGCAAAACTATTATAAAACTTAGCAGCAACAATCATTTCAGAAATCTGGAGATGAATCAAAGGCAAAGTCAGAAAAACTGATTTTTGAAATGCTGCTAGAACTTGAGGCAGTGGGAGCTAGCAGCTTTCCTGCTGGGTCCAATCATTCTAGGAGGGTGGCTTTAAAAGCCAGTTACACGGCCCGAGGAGAGACAACCTGAACGGGGCGGGGGGCAGAGGCTCAGAGTCAGCACTGTTGCTAGCAAAATGAGCAAACAGGGTAGGAAATGAGTGAGGAAACCCCACAGCTCTGCCAGCCCCAGGCTGCAGCCGCAGTGCGTGGAAGGGCAAGGAGTTTAACCAAGGTATCTGCGAATGCAAGAACCACAGAGAGTCTAACGAGCTCCCCTTACCACCCTAGGTACGTGGGAAACTGCCTGTGTGCAGAGGAGTGACAGAAGGACCAAAAGCACACTGCACATTTCTAACTGAAACGGCTGCATGTATAATGAGATACGAGAAGGCCTAGGCAGAAGATAAAAGTCAGGGAGAAAATGTTTGGCCTCACAATCTCAATTCTCTTATCCCACATCCAAAGTACTGCTGGATTCAGAGGGTTCTATCCTTGGATCTGGCCCCAGACTCCAGCTGGCCACCAGTGTAGATCCAGGAAGGCAACAAGACTGGTTCAAGGAATTGGCTTCTTGCCTTCCAAGACGGATAAGGAAAAGACGCAAGACCATCACAGAAAGGAGAGCATGACACACAGCTGAGTCTACTTGCGATTTTTTATCTTCCTGCTCCAAATGTACCTTTCAGTATCTGTTCTGCAGTAATGAGCTGGACTCTATGAATAATTTTTGCAGGGAACATGAAGTAAGCTTTGCAACACAACACACCAGCACATACGGGAAGAGGAGTACCTCTCTTCCTCGTCCCAAGGTGTTGTCGTTCACTTGCTCCTGGCTGGTGTGCAGTCTCTTGCTGTCATCAGCACTGTTTTGCTACATGAAATCAGCCACTCTCTTGGCAACCAGAAACCCTGGCCCAAGTCCAGTGTCTAACTTAGGCTGATTCTACCATTGTTGGTGTTTAAGACAACTGGATGTGACACTGCCATCCCACAGCGGAGTTCCTGGATTTGAGCCCTAACCCCAGCTTCCTTCTGGGTACACCTGCAAGGCAGCTCGTGATAGATACAGTGCCTACCAAGTTCCCTCCAGCCACATGGGAGACCTGGAACGGGTACCCGGCTTCCTGTTAACACATGGCTCATCCCTGGACATGGCAGGTGCGAACTGTGGATAGGATATTTGCTTGGATGCCTCACAAAAATTTTTGGATTTGTTTATGTCTTTGAAAGGCAGAGTGATAATGAAAGTGAAAGAGTAGGGGTGCAAGAGAGAGGGAGAGAGATCGCCTACCTGCTGTTTCACTCCCTACAGGCCAACAACAGCGTGGGGCTAGGCCAAAACAAGGAGCCAGGAATCCCACTGGGTCTGCCAAGTGGACAACAGAAACTCAAGTATTTGGGCCATCATCCCTGGCTCCTCAGGCCCGTTAACAGGAAGCTGGATCCTAAGGAAGAAGCAACTGGCCTCCAGCCAACACAATATGGGAAGCAGGTGTTCCAAGCTACAGCTTAACCAACTGTGTCACAACACCTGTTGTTCAAATAAAATTCTAAAAAACTGAAAAGTTTTCAAAAATGACTTATGTTTTAGCCCAGAACTGCAAACTGTGGCCCAACTCATTCCGTCTGGTCACACAGCAGCCTTGACCCATCTAGCACCGAGCATTGCTCTCTGCAGCCCTTCCCAGAAACAGATCACGTCCTGCACCTTGCACTTTTGCAACAGAATGCAGATTGGTTCAGCACAACCCCCCACCAGCCCCTGCTTCCCTGTGCCCTACAGGACTAGTGGCAGAAACTTCCCAGCACGGGCACCGCACACATGCCCTTGCTCATGAACTTCCCGGCCAATGAGCAACACCTCATCATCCCACTTCCTTTCACATGCCCGCCCACCGGCCCCAGCCCATCTGGGGATCAGGGAGTCGTTTTTTCTTTCCAGCAACTATGAGCCAAGGCTGCATAATATTATTCATAATATACATTTTCTGTGAAGTTCTTAAAGGCCCCAAATGGGAAAACTGAGAAATCAGTGTAATCAAAGATTAGAACTTAGAACAGATAACAAAACTGATAAATCTTAGCTTAAATGCCAAATTAAAAAAGAAGACATAAATTACCAAAACTAAGGATGAAAGTGGAAACATCACTACAAACTGTAGAAAAATTAAAAAGATGAATAGTAATATTAATAATTTCATGCCACCTTCATGGATAAAATGTACAAATTCCTAAAAGACACAAGTACTAAAAGTGATACAAATGAAATACAAAACGAAAAGCCCCCCTAATGACTCATACATGAATTATTCACTGGACTCTTTTTCATAACAGCAAAAAAAAAAAAAACAAACCAGAAAGCAATCTATGCGCATATCGGTAAGTCACCTCATCCTACACCGTTATGACCGTTTTCTTCTCTTTAAAAACATGCAAAACAGCCTTAACTGATTTTTTTACTTCTAGCGTTATTTAATAACAACAACAAAATTTTCCAGTGAAAATTTCTAATAGAAAAATATTTCATGCTAACTTCTCTGAGCACCCTTCACGTTTGGAGCATATCATTAGCTCAGAGTTCGCTTTCCTTAGAGTTCAAATTCAGAGTTAAATTTCACGAAAACGGCCATACCCGTCCCCAAGCTCTGCACGACGTGAGACGGGACGGAGCACTGCCGACTCTCACGACCTGGGTACTTCTCGCACGAGTGCCGACGGATGCTCAATCTTACGGTTTGCGGCTTCCTTCCGTCCTGGCTTACTCTGAAATAAGTGGAAAGAAGGAATTACAAAAACACTACCTACAGATGTTTTAATGCAGGACACCTTATTTTTCTAAAAGTCTCAGATTTAACAACTACAAGGAAAAATCAAAAGATAAATTATGATACCAAATTAAAAAAAAAAGCCACCTTGGAGCCTATGTATAGCTCTTCAAACCCAATTGATCACGACCTTCGTAAAGACTCCTTGAAAGCACATAAAGGACACTTAACACCAAGCCACCAAGGTGCCTGAATACTAAAACAAACACCACAAAGTCTGTACCACCAACACTCTCAAGCCTCACTCAGAACTGAGTGCTGTCAAACGCAGACTGGGGCTGCAACATAACCCTAGCAAGCTGTTCTCTAATCCACCTCCAAAATACAACTAAAGGCAACATAATAAAATCCACAGATATTTCAAGAGACAGTCACTCACTGACAGAAGCAAATAGGTCAGACATGAATTTTTTATTCACCTTTTTTGAAAAATGAGATTACAAAAAGCTAAGTGTGAGCCAGGCAACGTGGCACTGCAGTTATGCTGCCAGTTCAGATCCCAACTGCCCACACTGGAGTGAACGCCTGGGGGAGTCCGGACCCTGCTCCGACTTCCAGGTTCCTGCTAACACGCACCCCGGGAGGCAACAGGTGATGGCGCACGCTCTGGCTGTCTGCTACCTTCCTGGAATGAGGCCCAAGCGCTTCTGCCCCAGCTGGTCCATTTAGGGAGAAAACAAACCAGTGGGCATTTCTTGCCTCTTTGTCCCTTTGTCTCTTGAACAGAGAATTTACAAAATCTTTTCATGTTTTTATGAAATTATATTACTTGTGTTCAAGAGCACTCCGCAAATAGATCCCAGACAGCTAGACTACCCTTACGATTCAAAGTGTTAAGGGTAATAGCCCGAAAGAGATGAAACTACAGGAACATGAGATACTTATGTTTGTATATTTAGAGGCCCATCTAAATGCTCTTGGGTTTGGTGCTGAAATAATTGTTAATGATATGCAAAATCTACCTAAACAGGAGAAGATCTAATTAACTGGAAAAACAAAAGTAATTAAAAAATAACATTTTCTTTTATGTATGCATGGTGAAGCCTGAAAAACCAAATATAAAATGAAAACATTGTATATTATTAAACACCAAAATTGAAGATTTTGAATTAGTACAATTACTGTTATTTTTTAACTTCCTGTTGGCTGCTTCACTGGGTTAACAAAAAGTGGCTCCTGTACATATGCTGTTAAAGTATCTTGTAGCTGAGCTTGTTCTGAAAGTAATGTTAATTAGAAACATTAGAAGAAACGTTACATCCTAAGCAACCTTAAACTGATGCTTATATGGCTCTGCATTTCTTTGCTTTCTACAGTATTTCACCGTTGCTCCAGAAAGAAAAACATCACACATGCATACACACACCCTGCTCAAAACACGAGAGCCGTGCTGCAGAACGTTGCAGCCAATTTCACGGCACCAGTTTTCTGGGATTCAGTCATTGGAAAACCACATTCCCTAGACAGATAACCCCTGGAGCCCCTACAGAAGCCCACCCACTCCGGGCTGTCAGACCTTTAACAACAGAGAGAGGATCCCCTGCTCCCGGGGTACCGAGAAACAGTCCTGATGACTGCTACGCAGCAGCAGAAAACCAAACTTCTCATTTAGTCTAATTTACACTATTTCACCTTGCCGCTCCCAGCTGACTCGCCAGGTACTGAGATCAGAAACCCTGGACACACCCAAGTCACTCACACTAAGCCCCATGATTCTGATTCCTCTGCTGTTATCTGAGGCAAAGGTCATATAAAGGGGTTTTAGAACTGTGACAAAAGAAACCCTCTTTGCATTTTTCCCCATTTAGTGAAAAGCAAGTAATGGTTAGGTTGAGGGCAAAGGCTTTGTAACTACAACAGCAAAGAAAACGAAAATCTTCTTCTCACCTAAGAACTAGAAGAAGCGCAGGACTGTAAGAGACAGCCATAAACCTCTTAGGAAACTACAACTTGAGATCCATGACTTAGCCAGTTACCAGAATCAAGAACCACGGCAGTGGAAGGCTTCCACGCAGGTAAGAGGACCTATTACTGCCTTTGAAATAGTTTTTAAGCACCAAAATCCACTGTCAGATGATGTATCTTTACATGGTCTAGTTTCCAGTTAACCTGTAAGTCCCAGGATTAAACATCAAGTTCATTAAATACTTAGAAACATGGATCAACAGTCACCTGTTCAAAAGACTAGCAAGTAGTTCTTCAATCTTTTGTTTCACTTCCGCTTCAGAGGAACATTTTTTAAATGAATCTTCTTCACTAAAGGACTATCAAAGAAGCAAAAACGAGGATTCATTGAGAAATAAGGAATCATATGAAGACAAACACATGCAGCACAGGCGTTGGTGGCATAGTGGCAAGCATGGCTGCCCTCCACATACATCACCCAGCTGTCAGTAGGAAAGACAAAGAAATACCCGATGTATTGCTATTTCTTGTGCCTGCTTTGAGGCATCGGGTTCATGCTGACGTTCACTGTTTCTAGCTGCAAGTCAGTGTCCTTCACTGGAAGGTTACAAAGCTCTACCATCCATTACAAACGGCATTGCATGATGGCAGCAAGGGTCTCCATCTGCCAGCACTCCGATCTGAGTTATCCTTGGATATATTAAACTTTTCCAAAGTATAGTATCTTCTTGAAATAAGAAGAGAAGGAAAGCAGGTGGGAAGGATGGAATGAACAAATAATGGTACTACCAACCTGAACGCTTGCTGTGCAGATTAAACAAGCTATTTTACATATATATAACATCATAATCATAAATATGTATATGCACATATATACATCTATATACACACACATACAAATGAGCCCTTAGTGAAGCTGGGACGCATGGGAAGGACGTCAGTCAGTGTTAACTGTTATTGCATCTTCCCCCACTTGCTGAATCTTTGGGTTATCCCACAAACAGTACGAGTCGTATTCCAAGTAATTAACTAGAGTTGTGAAATATTAGCACTTAATATTTCAATGAAAAATGTTTATTAATCTAAGCCAGGGTTTTCATAGGAATCCTGTACTAACCTTGTAGGGAAGATTAAACAGTAAGAATGTGGTGCTACCTACACTTAGATATCTTGATCTCAAACGGCACGACAGTTCCATCAGACACACGAACGTTAACATCATCCCTGACCTGTGGGGGCCCCGAGGGTACCACGGGACTGTCGTCCTCCCCAAAACTGAGCTTCTGGATCTTCTGGGCAACGGAGAGCCCCAGCTCCTTTTCCAATACCTCACATGGAAAGGTTTGAAGGTCAGGTACACTACTGATACCCAGTGCTTCAAGACGTTTGGCAGTTTTGTAGCCAATACCTAAACAAACAAAATGCCCAGTGTTACAAGTAGCTTTTCTCCTTAAAATGAAGCCAAGGAACTGTATCAGCTATGTCGCTAAGTTTTGTAGTTATTATTTGCCAGGATCCAATCCTGCTGTACCCTACGCTGCTCTTCCACTCAGGGCCTCAGAGTTCTGTGCCTGGCTCTGAAATCCTCAATGTAATACAGTGTAACAAGTACAGAGACAGCCAATAGACCCAATAGGACCCAACAGGTCTAGGTACTTGGGGTCCTGCCAACCACATGGGAGTCTCAGAGGAAGTTCCTGGCTCCTGGCTTTGGACTGGCCCAGTTCTGGCCGCTGAGAACATGTGAGAAGTAATCCAATAGACTAAACATTCTCTTTCCTTCCCTCTCTCCCTCTGTCTTTCAAATAAATAATGTGAGAAAAAAAGAAAAGAAATTCACTTTCACAGAATTTTACTGCATCTCATTCTCCAGCAATGCTACAGAAATGAAGATTAACATACCCATATTGATAGTCTATAAGAGTAAGACACTAGCTCTTCAAAGATCCACACCTGCCCCACGACCTGAATAGGTCATTGAAAATGAAAACGGAAATGGAGCCATGCGCCACTGCTGATGAAAGCAGGCTGTCACTGCCTGCAGCACTGGTAGACCCCACAGCTCCAGTTCAAGGTCCAGTTCAAGCTCAGCTGCTCCACTTCCACCGCAGCTCACCCCATGATGCACCTGGGAAAGCCGCAGCAGGTGGCCCAAGGGCTCGGGGTCCCTGAACCCACATGGGAGACCCGAATGGAGTTCCAGATTCTGGGCTTCAGCTTGGCCCAGCTCCAGCCACTGTCGCCATTGGGTGGGTGAACCAGCAGATCAAAGATGCCCTCCCCCACCTTCATTCCTCCCTCCCTCTGAAACTCCAGCTTTCAAATAAAACACATGGATCCAAAAGAAAATAAAGTTACAATTAAAGGTTTCCATTATGTACATTTTTTAAAAGACTTATTTATTTACTTTGAAAGTCAGAATTACAGAAGGAGGAAGACACAGAGAGAAAGATCTTCCATCTGCTGGTTCACTCACCCAGATGACTGTCACCGGCCAGAGGCAGGTCAGGCTGAAGCCAGCAGCCAGGAGCATCGTTTGGGTCTCCCACACGGTGGCAGGGGACCAAACACTCTGGCCATCTTCTGCTTATTTTTCCAGGTCCTGAGCAGGGAGTCCTACTGCAAGTGGAGTTGGCAGGATTTGAATCAGCACTCAAACAGGAAGCCAGTATTATATAACATTGGTCCCCATAATGTGCATTTTTAATAAAGATGACTTATTTAACATCCAGAGCTACAGAGAAAGGGGAGAGCACAGTGGGGTGGGGAGAGAGAAAGAGAAAGTGAAACCCATTAACACTGGTTCACTTCCCAAAGGCTCTAACAGCTGGGGCCGAGCCGGGCCTCCACGCACACGGGTGGCAGGGGTCCTGAAGGCTCCACTGGGAAGGCTCCACTGCCTTTCCAGGAACATCGTCACAGAGCTGGATCAGAAATGGATCATCCAGGACCTGCACTGGCACCCATTTGGAATGGCAGCATCACAGGCAGGGACCAAGCCTGCTGTAGCACCATGCAGGTCCTTTGACAATATACATTTTCCAAAAACTTTCTGAAGACCGCTCCTATTTCACAGATTTCAAAAATCATTGTACCATAATAAACTTACCTTAAGCGGTTAGAAAAAATACCCGAACACAGATGAAAAAACAAGTCCTAGCGTGGTCCCCAGCACAGTGTTAGTGTATCAAGGGCTGCAACAAGGAACCAGGAGGACGCCAACATGATGCAAAGGAGGAAATGTGATGGTTCCCTGGCTGCTTTGTCAACCAGTCTACACGTGTGTTGACATACATGCTTTCACTCCCTAAAAATGCACGCTACTTACATGTCAATCAGAAAGTTTAAAAAAAATTTTTTTTAATTTAGAAAACTAATTTCTAATTGTCTTTTCCTACACACTTTCTGAAGCATCTTAATAATTTTAACTACACAACACTAGGTGAAAAAAGAAACACAGTTCCCAAATTTCCTAATAGAGTTGCTTTAGAAAACATGTGGCTTTGATTTTGGTCAAAAGACACAAGTACACATGTGTAAGAATTAATTACATCGCATCTATATTTTCTTAAAGAAATGCAGTAAAACCCAAATTAATTTTCAAATACATTTGTCTTACCAGGTATTTCCTTTATGTGGCTCAAACTACGAATGAGATCTTGACAACTCTCAGGTAGTAAGACGGTTTGTTGGTTGGGCTTAAAGACGCCAGAAACTAACTTGGCCAGTAGCTTATTGGAAGCCACTCCAGCACAGCCAGTGAGGCCCAGCTGCCCCAGCATGGCTCCCCGCATCTCGGCCGCAATCTGAGACCCAAGAACGAGTCTGATGTGCAGGGCATCCCGCCGGTTTACAGCTATAAAAACAGACAGGCTTTTTAAACAGCACATCCAGAAATGCTCATCTTCCTTTTCACAAAACAATCTTTTTAAAGATTTGTTTTTATTATTTTTTTATTGGAAAGGCGGATATACAGAGAGGAGAGACAGAGAGGAAGGTCTTCCGTCCAATGATTCACTCCCCAAGTGAGTGCAATGGCCGGTAATGCGCAGATCCGAACCCAGGAGCCTTTTCCAGGTCTCCCAGGCGGGTGCAGGGTCCCAAAGCTTTGGGCCGTCCTCGACTGCTTTCCCAGGCCACAGGCAGGGAGCTGGAAGGGAAGCGGGGCTGCCGGGATTAGAACCGGCGCCCATATGGGATCCCGGGCGTGCAAAGCAAGGACCTTTAACCACTTGCGCCACCGTGCTGGGCCCACAAAAGAATCTTTTTAAAGATATGAGGCTTCACAGTATACACTCAAGCCCTGTCGCTTCCCCCTACTGCTGACCTCCCCTCCCCGCCTGCTCGCCATGTGACTGTTCTCTTTCACTCCCGATAGAACTACTCTAAACAAATACCCCAGGGGAACGCCAGGGCTCCGTGATCCTGGCCGCGAATGTATGACAAATTATGAAAACTGCTTTCATGGAAAAATTGCTACTGACACTGATAAAAACTTTCACCACATTTATCTGTTAGCAAGCACAGTAAGAAAGGAACACCATAGCTTTACAGAACTGACTCTAAACTTTCTACTCTGGCTTCACGAGCTTTTAAAACTAAATTCTGAGACATGCTTTAAGAAAGCCAGGGAAGAAGGAAGGTAGGAAAGAGGGATGGAGCGAGGGCAGGAGGAGGAGGAAAGAAATGGCATTCCATGCTGGGAATTCTATCTCTGAACTACACTAAATCTGTCCTCCTTGGGCCCCTCCTTATCCCGCTCCCGGGAGACTCATGTCTAAAGTCCATGGACAAAGTGCCGTGTGATTGGCCATTTACTTCCAAATCCCTTAGCACACAATCCATCAGTCGACAGCAAGAGCGACATACAGCCGGTTTGTCCTAACGCTAATAAGTGCTTCGGCTCTAGGACAGGAAACAATGAGTGTTCTCTGTATAATACTGTCACCTTCGCTGTATAATACTGTAGTTTTGAAAACTCACTTTAAGATAAAATATTGTGTGGAAAAAGGCTGAGTTAATGAGTCGGCATTCATCTTCTACTTAGGATGCACACCAAAGCTGTCTAAAAAATCTGCCTTTCAAATGAAAATAATAAATCTCACAAACAAACCAAAAAACAGGCAATTCATAAGATAAGGATGACCCACGGAGGTTTGAAAATTAAAATGGAAAAAAGACTTAAACTATCAGAGTACTAAGCTCCATGGCAAAAAAAACCTCACTTTTTGCACATTTAGTATGGGATAACAACATGTAATTTTTAGATATACTAGGACAGACCTGGCATATCACAGACTAGAGATGACTGCACTGCAACCAAAATCAGGATTTTTTTTTAGGTTAATTTATTTTTACTGGAAAGGCAGAGTTACGAAAAGGAGAGACAGAAATAAAGATCTTCCATCCACTGGTTCACTCTCCAAATGACCATAACAACCAGAGCTGAGCTGATCCGAAGCCAGGAGCCCGGAGCCTCTTCTGGGTCTCCCACATGGGTGCAGGGTCCCAAGGCTTTGAGTCATCCTCCACAGGCTCCCCAGGCCATAAGCAGGGAGCTGGAAGCGAAGGGGAGCAGCCGGGACACAAACCAGCGCCTATGCAAGGATCCCATTGCAATGCAAGGTGAGGATATAGCCACTGAGCCATCACACCGGCCCCAGGAATCTTTCAAAAGGACCCAACAAGCTCAAACATCAAAGAGTGGACACCCTTTTAGTTACTAAGTAGAATGAGAACTCACGTTGTTGGTTGTACACGTGACCTGAGACGGTGACTGCCGAGAGCTCATCGCTTCGAAGCTGCTGGAATCTCTTCTCCACCATTTCTGTCAGATCCACGAAGTTTTCATCAAATCCAAGTCTCTCAACAAGTGGACTGAATTCTTCCAGCAACTCTAAGTTGATATAATATTGGAATACAGAGGTAACTTAACTCACAATATGTTTAATCATTTCATATTTGAAGAACACATCAAATGTCCTCATGTTGTTCCACATAGTCACAATTCCACAATCTCTTAAAGTCCTCGGTTAATTGGGATTGTTCTCCCTGTACATTTTGTATAGAGACAATATTTTACAATAAACAAGTCGAAAAGCACAATTCCAGGGCAATGACTCATGGTGATATAGTTAGCCCTGTCTTCTATAATTTTTGCTCTCTGCCATACATTAAATATCTCTGCTTATGGTTAATTATCATCTTGAAACAATGTCAAAGAATAAATTACAGTCTCCTTCAGAAAGTAAAAACACTTAATGATCTCAGCTATATTTTCCACAAGTGTTAAAACAGCAAGGCAAAACAACACTTAACATCCTGAATCAGCACTGAGTCGAACAGAAGAGCCCTCCGTTTTGAAAGCAAAAGACAGCACAGTAGGATTAACCAGTTAGCATATTCCTTAGACACAGGAGACAGGCCACAGCTCACACGCACCTGAGGTCCTGAGTCTGGCTCTACACCTAGCGGCAACAGAAGCAAGCTACACATCTCTTTTTCTATTGTGTTTATTTGAGGGATATGGGGGAAAAAAAACCAAAAATAAGAGTGCCAGTTCACACCTAAAATGTCCTCCACAGCGGGGCCAGGCTCAAAGCCAGAAGCTGGGGACTCGATCTGTGTCCCCCATGTGGATGGGAGGGGCGGGCCGTGTCCCCCACGTGGATGGGAGGGACAGGCCGTGTACCCCACGTGGATGGGAGTGATTAAGCAGTTGTAACGTTTCTTGCTATGTACCAGGATGCATCCCAGCAGGAAGCTGGAGTCAGGACAGGAGCCAGGATCAACCCTGGAACTCCGAGATGGGATGCAGGCATCCCAGGTGGCAGCGGAACCACTGGGCGAAGCACCTGCCCCTGAAACAAGATGTCAAACAAATCCCACCTACCCCTCCAAGAAAAAGCCCAAACACGGTCAATTCCTGTACATGAAAGGTTTTCAGAGATCACAGCACCGGAATTAAGAGATGATGGTGGGGGCTAGCGTGTGGTACAGCAGACACCAAGTGAGAGGCTGGCATTCCAAATCAGAGTGCTGACTGGACTCCCAACTGCTCCACTTCCAAACCAGCATCCTGATACTGGGCCTGGGAAAGCAGCGGGAGACAGTCCAAGTCCCTGGGCACCCGCTAAGCTCCAGGCTGCTGCCTTCAGCCCTGCCCACTGCTGCCACTGAGGCGCAAACCAACAGACGATGCACCTCTCTCTCTACTTTCCAAAGAAATGAAGTAAATCTTGGGGGAGGGGCAGGGAAGGGAAGAAAAGAAAAGAAAGGGGAAAGGAAGAAAAGGAAAATGCTACGGGAAGCATTTAATCTAGTGGGTAAGCTGCTTCTTAGGACCCCAAGTTACAGTGGGCTAACTTCAAGTATCACATACAGCAGTTTTCACAATTCTACATACAAATGATGTTTGATACAGTAATGAACCACTTAAGGAACTTCATTTACTGATAGTTCCTTAAAAGCAGGCCAAAATTCAGTATGAAAATATCTACTGCAGAACGTATTTCTAAGAGCTAGTAACGATCCCACTCAGTTAGGGAAAGCATATTTATTATCCAAATAAGTGAAAGAAGGCCCTATCAATAATTACGGGAGTATTTGGCCTAGCAGTGAAGGTCATGCCCGTGTAGAGCCTGTTTCCCGTTTGGGAGTGCCTGGGTTCGAGGCCCACTCAGCTCTCAGCTAATTGGCTGGAAAAGGGCAGATGATGGTGCAAACACTTGGGCCCCAGCCAGCACAAGGGAGATCTTGGCTTCTGCCTGTCCCAGCACTGGCCACTGTCTCCATCTGGAGAATAAACCATTGCATGGAAGATCTCTGTCTCTCCTTTCTCTCTCACCGCAAATCTTTCAAATAATAATAAAAAAAAAATCTTTAAAAGTAGTAAGACTTTTTAAAGCGGAACAGGCATTAAAAGAAAGTATTTGAATCACTAAAGGACTTGTTAAATCACAAATACAGATCTGTACAGTCGGTACAAAGGAAGAGGAGAATCTACAAATATGACACGAGAGAAATTGTATAGCGACATTCAGCCTGCGATTACAAAGTAAACTGAAAGCATATGATTGCAAAAAATTAGAAGGAAAAACAAGGAAGGAAAGAAAGAGAAGGGAAGGAAGTCTCCTTATATTCTTAGAATCATGTCTATGGAGTACACAAAATCTGCTCTCCTAATATCAGTAATTTTTTTAAAAATTCATATAAAGAATATTGAGCACGTGCACAACAAGATATTTAACTCTATGTATTATATAACTGCTCTTGTTTTACACGTCTATAAATTTAAAGTTTTAACATTTGACACACACACTCTGACATGGCAGGTGGAGAGGCCGCGTGCAGTGCCAGGCTCTGGCTGCCAGTGTGCCTGGGAAGGCAGCAGCAGAAGGCCCAACACATCACTAGGACCCTGCCATCCACGTGGGAAACAGGGAAGAAGCTCTTGTGTCCTGGCTTCCGCTCAATCCCTGGCTGCTCCGAGCATCCAGTGAATGAACCGCAAGATGGAAGAGATCTCCCTCTGTCCGTCTTTCAAATAAATACATAAGTCCTTAAAAAAATCATATTCTAGGAATACAGTCTTTCTACTTATCTTTGTCCCCTCTCCGCCCATTTCAACACTGCGTGATTCCCTCTGAAAAGCTACCCGATGTTAAACATCCAGCACGTATCAGCTCCTGTCTCTGCTCATGGGCAGGGGTTGGGATGCTTATCCCACGGGTCTTATCATTTGGTCTGACCCCACCAAGACAACCGCAGGTGGGAGTGAACATTCAATAAATCAAAGCAGGCTAATTCTTAATCTGATAAATTATGGGCCACGAATAATATTATAGTACCCAAAACACCCAAATAGCAGAAAAAACAGGTTCACCACCCCTAATATACAGGCACATAAACAGAAAAGGCATTCTGGCCACTGTGACACCTCTTCCTCTGCATCTTCAATTCACTCAACAAAGCACACTCCACAGTCACATGGCAGGCAAATAAATGATTTTTACAGCTCTATAATAACCATCATATAGAAGTCTTTACTTATGTACCCTTTGTTAAAAATATTTATTTATTTATTTATTTGAAAAGCAAAAGCCTGGAGGGGGAGGGAGTGAGAGAACAATTTTCTTGCGAATCGTGCATTTAAACCCTTATTTTCACTGGATTTGGATTTCTTTCCCTCTGTATGCTACAGATATTTAATCCTTTCATCTAAAACCTCCTATGCTAAAAGAAATATTTTAACAATAAAAAAAAGATAATACAACATTGATGCTTAAAAATGGCTAGCATTGTCACAGAGCATCTGCAGGAGATTGAGCAAGGATCCCACACACAAATACCAAACTACGTGGGCACTCAAGTTCCTTAGCAAACGTCCTATTTGCATATAACACAGGCACATCCTCTACGGATTACTTACAATATCACTATAAATGCCATCCTGTAAAATACCAATATGAAACATGGACCCCATAATCTCCACCTGTAACCTTGTACGACGTTTCTCTGTAACGGGTCAAGTCTTCGCCGTTCACTAACACCAGCTGGGGGCACTTCTCCTTCGCCGCCTTGATGCTCATGAGCTTCTTCACCCCAAGCCTTCTGGCTTCGTAGTTGCAGGTAACCACCAGACTCTTCTGCTGCACTCCTATCAAAATAAATGTGTTATGAGGAAATCAAACAGAATTGAAGAAACTTTTTGAAAATGCAATTTACTGATTTCATGTTATGGTTGTATAAATTAAAATGCGGCATTTTGAAAATAAAAACCTCTCAGTTAAACGATAGCTTCCATTCATGAAAAAAATCTACAAAGCAGAAACATTTTCAAGCAATCTTCGCCACATGCAATGTGTGATACTTTTATATATCGTGTTTGCATATATCACTTTTAATCATTCATTGTTCTGCCTGCTCGTGGAAGAAGGGAGTTATAATCAAATATCTAAACACTGAGCAACAGTAGTAAAAATTCTATGTTAGAAGAAGGATCAATTATTTAAACACAAAATTAGTCTATATACTTCTCACACATAACAATACCACAAATGATTAGTCTACAAAATATTTATGGAAAAAAATAAATCAAATCCTTATTTTTTTTAAATGTAACAAAAATTAGCACTATGTGTGACTCCTGCATACATTTCACACACAGAAAAAAGAACTGAGTACAATTGCTTCTAGATAAACTCACTTCTCTTCTGAGCAGTCTTTGGAAACGCCACGTTCTGTGTGCTGTTGCATTATTTAGGGCTCTCCCTGCAACAAATACCCTTATCATGATTGTACTTTACCATAATCTGCAGAAGATAGCTATGACTTATTATAACTTCCCTAATGAAATGATTAAATTACAACCATTTGTCTACATACCATGCAAAAATTCTATTCCCAAGCTGCCACAATGGCTAAACAGACTAATCCTCCACCTGTAAGTGCCAGCATCCCATGTGGGTGCTGGGTCATGAACCAGCTCCCTGCTTAGGGCCAGGGAGACCACAGGAGATGGGCCCAAGCCCTTCGGCCCCTTCATCCACGTGGGAGAAACAGACATTCCTGACTCACTGCTACTTATACTAGTATTCATCTAAACTATGCACGCTGAGCCCCGGCATTGTGGCATCCATTGGGGACACTGGTTTGAGTTCTGCCTGTTCCACCTCTGATCCGGCTCTCCACTAACAGGCCTGGGAGAGCAACAGAAGATGGCCCAAGGGTGTGGGTCCCTGCATGCATGTAGGAGACCTGGAAGAAGCTCCTGGCTCCTGGCTTCAGCCTGGCTCAGCCCTGGCCTAGCTCTCTACTGCAGCCATTTGAGTAAACCAGCTAATGGAAGATTTCTCTCTCCTTCTCCTCTTCTTTCTTCTCTTCCTGTCTATGTAACTCACCCTTTTAAATCAATCAATCAAAAAAGTGTAAAATGCAGTAATGAGGAAGGAAACAGAAGTTGCATTATTCCCCTTCAGGTTAAACATCTGTTTCTAAAATTTTGATATTACAAACAAGGCAAAGCTACATGACTGATGCTCAAAATGTAACCACTATGTCAGAAATAAGAACTTAAGATTCATCATTCCTCAACTAAAAAAGGAACCTTCAATGCAGAATTGCGTCATACGGACACGCCCCCGTGCACACCACCATTCTGAGATGGTCATGGATTGGCCAACAATGAAATACTATTTTTTTTTAAAGATTTATTTTTATTATTTTTTTTATTGGAAAGGCGGATATACAGAGAGGAGAGACAGAGAGGAAGATCTTCCGTCCAATGATTCACTCCCCAAATGAGCACAACGGGCCGATACTATGCCGATCCAAAGCCAGGAGCCTCCTCTGGGTCTCCCACACGGGTGCAGGTTCCCAAAGCTTTGGGCCGTCCTTGACTGCTTTCCCAGGCCACAGGCAGGGAGCTGGAAGGGAAGCGGGGCTGCCGGGATTAGAACCGGCGCCCATATGGGATCCCGGGCGTGCAAGGCGAGGACCTTTAACCACTTGCGCCACCGCGCCGGGCCCGAAATACTATTTTTCTTAAAGAAACTTCTGGCGCCCACAACTTCTTTTGCCAGACAATCATTCACAATGCTACTTATCAAAACTCTGATCCCAAATCCTTCAAACCCCTAGAAATCCTAGCCTCATTCAGGTATGCAAAAATATTGTTAGCCCTTTGTTTAGTAAATCAACTAGGTTCAATTTGGATTAAACAAAGCCAGTACAAGAGGCGAGCAGCAAGGGCCCAAGATAGCTCTCCAGCCTTACATTCAAAGACTAAATCCTTTTAAAAATAGTTCTTAATGTATGACATAAATCGTAAGAATGTTAAAACAACCCAGTGTATCAGTAAGTGAATCTTTGAAGATTTCTTGTATTTAAAACGATGTTTATGCTTTTCATGGAAAGCCTGCTGTTGTAGTATTTGAAGTTCGTTTCGAAACATAAAATGACAAGAACTACTTGTTTTTGAGACACAGACTTGCAAAATGGCACACACTGAGAAAAAGCCACTGACCTCAAGAAAAGACTAAAGCTTTCTTACACTTTTTAATTCGTTTCTTCAGTTTGGCTTTAACTGGTCACTGCTGGCCCACGCTTGCAATGACATCAAGTTCACACTTCATAGTGAAAATGACTGTCCACAGAGCACTTTAAAAACACCTCCAGAACGACCTTACCACGGCCCACACCTCAGAATAAACAGCACGAGTACCAAATGCTGTTAGCATACAACAAAAATACCATATCAATGTCCATAATTACCTAGAGGTTTGTCCTTTAATTCAGGATGTGAAATCATTTCTACCTGTGCATAGAAACAGTCCAGGTCGATGTGAGCTACAACTCTAAACCAAGAGCTTCCAGCAGGTACCACTTGACCAGGAGCTGCAGCACGGATGCAAAAAAACACATAAACGCACATTCACACTGCTAATCCTCTAACAGCCACTGAAGCTTCCTAAGCCACGCTGAGAAAGAAAACTGAACAGCGATTTTCATTTCTCCTGACCTGATCAAAACATCGAACACATTAAACCCCATCAACTGCAGGGTCTTCAATATTGTTTTCTTCATTCGCATTTCCTTGTGCGTGTTATTCTTTCTCAGACTAGAAAAAAACTTGACCGAAAGTGTCTTAAAGTGTCCTGATCAATAACATTTGATGTAAGTGCTAACAGGATCACTTGGAAGTTCATATTAAGAGAAAAACAGGGCAGAAAAGTTAAAATGTCGGTTTTAACATGTCCTTACATTTGCAAAAAATAATGAGACATGAAATATCAAAGGACCATCTGTGTGTTCCCACGTGAGAGCCAGATTCCCGGTTTAATGCTTTCCCTGGCACCTGGAACAGTATATAGGCCACAACAGACTACTAAACAGCCCTTGTTAAATTGAGACACAACATTCCGTGGGCTTTAAGAAAGGTTTTTGGGGCGGCAGGAGGCAGAGGCAATGAGAGCTCTTCAACCAGGTTAAAATCAGGCATGCTCACTGCAGCGGTGGGACCCCAGCCTGGATGCTGGAATAGACCAAGAGCACCAGAGAAGGACACTGCTAACTTCCCAACGCACTTCAGTTCACCTGGCAATATTAAACCAACGTTGATTTCTTAGCTTTGGCAAATGCGCCAAGATACTAAGAGGACTCGCTTGCTTTCTCTCCAAAAATAGCTTCTTTTTTGTTTGTTTGTTTGTTTTGCTTTTCTTGCTTTTGCCTCCCGCCCCAGGACAGCTGGCCCTGGAGTCAGGCAGGGACCGGCTCCGCCTCGCCGCCCACCGAGGAGGAGCAGCGAGGAGTGCAAGGGACGCCTGCGCCTCCACGCGCGCGCGGGGTCGGGCCGACACCACCCGCCGTGCTCCCACTCGGAGAAGCCGTACCCCTCCGGACGCCCCCTTCTCTGCCTCCCACGTGACAGATAAACTCCCTACCCCCACCCCAGCCTCGCAGGGCCAGGCCAGGGAGACGGAAGGAGCCCAGGCAGAAGCTGGCGCCCTCGCCTCCCCTTCTCCCCGACCCTCTCCAGAAGCACCCCGCGCCCTCGCCTCCCCTTCTCCCCGACCCTCTCCAGAAGCACCCCCGCGCACCCTGCGAGCCGCCCGCCGACCCCGCGGCCCAAGCCTCGTCCTCGCCCCCTTCCTCATCCTCGTCTCTGCAGCCTTCCTCCCCCGGCTGCTCCATGCCGCGGCCGCCCTCCGTCGCTTCCGCCCGGACTCCGGGGCGGGGAGCCGCGGCCCAGCCGGCCGACCAGCCTGTTCCCCGGAGTGACGCGCGGGCAAGGCTGGCCGGAGCTCTGTCGGAAGGGAGGAGTCCAAATCCCTGCCGGCTCCTGGTTTATCTTGGGGGTTTTGCAGCCAGTTCCACACCACGAATTGTAACGTTTTATCTTTGCTGCGTTCTGAGCAGCTGTTAATTGTAATTGCTCCTTCTTGCACCGGAACAGTTTCTGGTGCGAGAAGGGGGGTGTGTTAAGGTAGACATAGGGTGGCCCGGAAAAGAGTGATTGCAAATACGTTATTAAGGTGTGTGGGGTTTTGTTTGTTATTTGTAAATGTGACAGATCGGATCCAGTTTTGTTTTGACAGAGATGGCGCCCATCGGTGTCTTCCTTCTCCAAATTCCCACGATTTGGGAGTGAGCTAGACCAACCAAAACAGAAACCAGGAATTCCATCCAAATCTCCCACGTGGGTGGCAGCGACCCAACCACCTGCCGCCTGCCTCCGTCTGCTTAGCAGGAAGCTGAGGTCAGGACCACTGGAATCGAGCCCCTGTACTCCACAGTGGGATGTTGCGTGTCTTCACTGAGAGGCTGAGCATCGGCTCCTGGACCCGATTACACGAACTTCTAGACTCTCCCTCTTGCTAACTGTGTGACTTCAATGAACTCTCGGGGGACTTAGCTGCGCCACTACACACACACAAAGTTCTCGAGTGTTTTAAGACTAACTGAAGACAGATAAGAAACTGACATACAGCTTTCATATCCTAATGTGTATAAAGCAGCAGGCACGGTGAGGGTGCTGAGTAAATGCTGGTTTTTTTTCTTTGCCTTCCTGAGGATGGCGTGTGTGTGTGTGTGTGTGTGTGTGTGTGTGTGTGTGTGTGTTTTCCTCCACTGACTTTACTTTCTCACACTCTTGGCCTCTGCAGCTTTGTCTCTCTCTCTCTTTCTCTCTTTCTGAATATATGTATACACGTGTGTGTAAATAGGTATATTAAAATATACATATATTTAAGCATGTGACTTTTTTTTACATAAGTCATCCTCTTTTCAGATAGGATGTGAGAACCTTAAAACCTGCTTTTAAAAAAAAACAAACCGTAAATGCATCCAGAAAGCGGAAGGAATAACCAGCAGAGCCAGGCACAGTGGTTGGAGACCAGCTCTTCCTCTCGGGGTAGTTAATTCTTAGACATTGGAACCATTTCCCTAAAAGTCTCCTCTAGGATCTAAAGGTAATCTACTTGTTTTGTGAATGCTTTTTGTAAGTCTGGAAAAAGAGCTTCCAATTGAGTACTTCATTAAGTGCCAGCCAAGGATCCAATCACTTTCAGGAAACTAAGGTTGGTTTGCTTTTTAAGTCTTCCAGATAGAGAATAATGCAAACGGATGCAATTCCATGGTGGAGGAAAGCAGTTCCTGGAAAAGGTCACAGGTCAGTGACTTTCACATGCGTCGTAAGCCAGAGTAAAAACGAGTCAGAATGACACGAACAAAACGGTTTCTTCCATCAGTTGCTGTCAGATTTTTAAGATGGCTTTTAATTTAGTGAAAGGATCGATACACACAGCCTTGGAATCCTTTGAGGAGCGAGCGGGACTTGTTTGCTCCTTTTCAGCTTATTTTATTCTTTTTAATTTGAATGAAAGAGGGAGATCTTCCACCTGCTGGTTCTTTCCCCAGGGCTGGCCCAGGTTGATGCCAGGAGCCCAGGACCACATTCAGATCTCTCATGTCCAAGGCAAGGGCCAAAGTCTTTGAGCTTTCACCTGCTTCTAACCCTGGAGCAGGAAGCCAGATCTCAGCAGAGGTGGCACTTGGTCCCAGGCCCTCTGCTATGGAACACAGGCATGTTCAGTGGCAGCTGGCCCCACTGCTGCATGATGTCCGCCTGCAGAGCCGGCCTTCTGGGTGACCCAGATGGTCACATAATGTCCCCCCACCCCCGTAGGCTTCAGGGTCTAGAGTTGTCATGTTATCTTCATAAACTTTAAACAAAGATATTCTCCTTTTCATTCTGCCCTGGCCCCCACAATGTATTAACCAAGCCTGGGATCCAGTAATGCAAGTGGCATAGAGAGTAACTCTTGGAGAAGGACTCTGTGTGAGGCACAGTGCTAGAGGCATGAAACGGGTCATGCAGATCAGTGTGGCTCCCTGGGGAGCCCGTGTCACCACTCTCACTTTAACAAAGCCAGCAGAGACCACGGTTATGTTCACGGTTATAATTTTAGTAATGGCAGATCTGCTTTTCAGAGTTTTCCAAAGGGAAGAATTTGTTATTAATATTTATTCTATGAGGGAATCGAATTCCTCTGTCCATTTTCTTAGAGTTTCAAACAGCAGATGAGAAGTGGGGAGAATAAATGTCCTTCAAATATATCAGGAGGAATAAAAATAAAATACGAATGAATATGTACTGCTCTCCTGTAGAGGTGTTTTTAGGAAAGCAGAGGTTTTTTTATTATTATTATTTATAAATCCTTCTCCTTGGCTTTGACAGTCTCTAAACCATGGTAATTTCAAGAAATAAATGTATGCTGATTTTGGATCACAATTGTATTTTTAGTCCCCAAATGAGGATAGTAATTGCAAGGTGGAATAAACACGATTAATTAAATAAAATGATCAAAGCAGTATGAATGGGGAACATGGCAAGCTTGGCTGGCAGGTCAGTTAGGAAGGGGTGGGCATTCTGTGCCATCGGTTAGAATGCTGCCTGAGCCACCCCTGCTCCATAGAGCGGTGCTGTATTTGATCCGGAATCTTCCAAGTCATCTTCTTGTTAAGGTACACCCTGGGAGGAAGATGATGGCTCCGTGCTTGAGTGCCTGTCAATCATGGTGGGGGACCCAAATAAAACTCCAAGCTTCAACCTCCACCAGCCCTGGCTGTTACATCTTTCTCTTTCCCTTCCTCCCCTCCAAAGCTTCAAATAAAATGAAAAAAAAAAAATTGTTTTTAATGAAGTGAAAAGAGAAGACTCTGGGGATGTTTTGGAGCTTTGAAAGTCAGGAAGTAAGCATGTCAGTAAGGAATGGGAAAGATCTCAGTCAGCCTAGCCAACTCCCCCATGTGGTTCGGAGAAGTTTACAAGGAGTGTCCAAGGGCTTTGGCATGGAGATTGCAAGGGCAGTTTTGAATGTTCATAGTTTTTCTTGGTAGATGATAGCTATGTAGGTAGAGCTTCAACGTAGACCAATTTGGATGGCTAAGGCACAGACAGCTTGGTCTTGTAAGGTCTTCGGCCTAATGCAGTGATCCTCAGCTGACAACAGCGTTGCTGGCTGCTGGGTGTGACGGTGTGCACACATTTCTGGTGCTCACTTTTGAGCCCTTGGAGCTCTGTGCTGTTGACATGTAGTCGGCAGAGGCCAGGGAGATTGCTGGACATTTTAGAGTGTGTGAGAAAACACCTTACAACAGAGCATCCTCTATTGTGAAGCATCAGTTGGGTCAAGGCTGGGACACTGGGTGGTGTCTACGCCACCTTGGTTGAACTAACTTCTCCAGGTTAGAGTTCCCAGGTCTTCAGTTATGTGCTTTTAACTTTAATAAGGCATGTTTAGAGAGAAGGAGGATATTAAAAAAAAAAAAGAAGAAGAAGAAATTGTATTTAGTTTTCATTGTGGGAATTTTAGCTCTGAAGCTCAAAAGCAAATGGAATGTGTTTGCTACAAGAGAGAACTGAGAAAAAATGTCCACACTTTTATGGAGTTTGTGAGTTGCCCCAAGGGTGAGAAGCTAATGAGTCAGAAATAATTGAAAAGGCAAAGAAGTTGAAACCAGAAAACTACATGCTTAAGATGGTTGAAAGCAGACCATAATTACGCTGCACTGGCAGCTGGACAGTATGCATGGCGTGTGGTATTTACTTAATGACTTTGATCCGAAGGTCCAAAGCCCTTTGCATAAAAGCCGCAGGAGCTATGAAGAAACTGTTTTTGTTGTTGCTGTCACACTCCGCACAATAGCTGCAGTTTGCAATTTCAAGCTTTCCCTGTGCGACCTAAAAGTGTTTTTGTGCATGCCCTGCAACCAGGGCTGAAAGAAGACATCAGAATCTAGTTTTTGTAACAGTCAGTCTCCTATTTTGACCTTTCTCTGTGGCTCTGCAGAAATCTGCTGAAAAGTCTGCAGTCATTTTGCTGGTGCCATTTTAAATGTTGCTTGTGAGGGTCTGCTTGTCATTTTGGATGGAGCTAGGCTGAGGCCAAGTGGGTCACAAAATACCTCATTTGGACCCCAGTTTGTAAATAAAGTCAGGAAGGTTCAGTCACTGGGAGGATGAAAACTATTTGGTGTCATAAAGAAAGTGCAAGTGGATTGACAGTGGTCAGGCACATTGTGTTCTTTCTTTCTTTTTTTTTTTTTTTTGCTCTTGTTTGAAGGGCAGAGAGGCAGGTCCTCATTGGCTGGTTCACTCCCCAGATTCCTGGAACAGCCAGTTCTAGGAGCTCAGAACTAAACGTAGGTCGTTCACATAAGCAGCAGCCCAAGTACCTCCGCCATCACACATTGCCGCTCAGGGAATACGTGCGCAGGAAACAAGGGTTAGAAATGGACGTGAGGAGAGAACCAGGATTGTACCAAATACCTGGCCTCACAGACATCTGACTTCACCATAACTGTAAAAAACAAATCCTCCCAGGGGCCAGTGTCATGGCAAAGTAGATGAAGCCTCTGCCTGCAGCACCAGCATCCCGTCTGGGCACTGGTTTGTATCCTGGCTGCTCCACTTCTAATGCAGCTCCCTAATCATGGCCTGGGGAAGCAGCAGAGGATGGCTCAAGTCCTTGGGACCCTGCACCAACTTGGGAGACCCCAAAGACATTCCTAGCTTTTGGTTTCAGGTCAGCTTAGCTCTCCAGCTATTGTAACCATTTGGGAAGTGACCTGTGAATGGAAGGTCTCTCTCTTTCTGTGTTTCTCCTTTCTCTCTAAAATCTGCCTTTCAAACAAAAATAATTTTAATAAAAGAAGAAGAAGAAGAAGAACCTTGGGCCCGATGTGGTGGCCTAGCAGCTAAAGTCCTCGTCTTGTATGCACCAGGATCCCATATGGACACCAGTTCTAATCCTGACTGCCTTGCTTCCCTTCCACCTCCCTGCTTGTGGCCTGGGAAAGAAGTCGAGGACGGTGCAAAACCTTGGGACCCTGCACCCATTGTGGGAGACCTGGTAGAGTGCCTGGCTCCTGGCTTTGGATCGGCACAGCTC